AAAAGATAAAGAGGATTTCAGTTGTATACTTACTTACTTACTTACTTACTCACTCACTCACCCACTCACTTACTTACGCTTGTTACCCCTCGTAGAGGAGTATAGGCCGCACAACAGCATTCTCCATCCAACCCTATCCTAGACAATCCTATCCAGATCTTTCCAGTTCTTATTCATCTTTTTCATATCTGCTTCAATTGTATACCATTAAATCAACACAAATTGTCCAGCAATTATATGTAATAATAGGGATTACAAAATGATATACATACAGAATATAAGATTTTAGTGACATACTGAACCTGGATTGTTAATCCGATACTTGCTGAATTACATGAACAAAGTCTAATGACTTGTATCTTCTTGTAATGTAGGGTGGACATATTACACTACTCATTAATATCAGTTGTCATTTAATTTCCAACCAACCGAACAGTGTGTGTATGAGATAATAAAATAATGGGTTATACCTATTCTGATTAGTTGTTTACCACGGTGATTAAGGCGATAAGTCTAAGTTATTCACACCTAATAAGAGCTTATTAGTCTACTTTGTATCTCACTTTTGACTTTTAAATAAGCGTAACTTTACTATTCATATAAACTATTCAATAGTTGAATTCATGAGTCGATTTAAGCTAGACCATCATGGTAAACCTGGAAGCACTGGACGGCCGTTTCGTCTTATTGTGGAACTCCTCAGCAGTGTGCATCCAGGATCCCACCTCGCGAAATTCGAACGCAGGACCTATCAGTCTCGCGCGCGAGCGCTTAACCACTATATAACAACTATATAAAATCTCCACGAAACCCCCTTCTGATAATGATCATTGGCTCACTGATGACTGGCTCCATGATGTATTTCCTGGAGTTATAGTGAGAAGCAGTAACCAGTGGAGTTCAACCAGGTCTGTTGGAAGATATCAACTTATTAAAGACATTGGTGAACGGTTGTTAAATTTCGTGGACAAAAATGAAATGTCAAATTTTATAAAATTAAAGTCACTGGCAATCATATATATACCCTTTGTTTACTGTTTACAGTAACTAAATTTCAAAGTAGAGTTTCTTCCATATTTCGTCTGTTTTCGACAGAGTTCAAGAAACAAAGAGTTTGAAATATGAAATTATGACTACAATGCTAGTATTACATACGCTAGAGTTGACAATTTCTCTATTCAGAGATATTAGTCTATATTTTATCCGTATGTGGTTGTGCAAATTATTAAGTTTTTGATTAAGATTATGAACCAATCACTATCAGACCACTTCTCAATAGTGCACACTGACAATCCTATACACGCGATTCAAACACAGGACATTTAGTCTCGAACGTGAACCCTTAAGCTGTAGATATTGAGCCGGCCGGCATCCAACGATGTTATTTCATCTTGTTACGACACACTTACCTGTAATCCAATAATCTCTATCCGGTTCATACATTTATATTATTGATATATTCATAGTTGAAAGCATGAGTCAATTGAAGCTAGACCACCATGGAAAACCTGGAAGCACTGGACGGCCGTTTCGTTTTATTGTGGGACTCTTCAACAGTGCGTATGAACGACCTCATCTCACGAGATCTGAACCCATGACCTGCCAGTCTCGCGGCAGAGCATTTAACCGATAGACTACTTAGCCAGCATCCGATGGTGTTTATGTCTAACTCCAACCTATCTACAACAGGACGAAACAGCCATCCAGTGCTTCCAGGTTTTCCCTGGTGGTCTAGCTTCAATTGACAACCCCTTCTGATAGTATTAATATTATCAGAAAAAGTAAAATTCTAATGAAATAACAATCTGAAATTTGATATTTAAACGACTTCACTATTTTGGAATTGAATGATTGTTACCATTTAGAAAGAAAGAAAGAGAGAGAGAGAGAGAGAGAGGGGGAGATTCATAACATGTGATAGAAACTTTAAAAAAAAATTGGTTTCTCTTTTAACCAATTCAATAATTAATGTTTCTCTTCAATTAATGAACAATTCATTGGTAGGTAGAATGATGTAGATTTCTTTAACCCACATGTCAAACCATTTCATTGTCTCTGTGTTTTCTTGTTGTTGTTGTTGTTGTTGTTGTTGGTTAAAATGTCGATTGTTAGCGTTTTGTTGACTCTATGTTATTTTAATTATTCATGAATTGATGATGACTCTCCATGTAGGTAGTATTTGTATACTTTATGATTGTTATCGTATTCCAGCTAATATCTATCTATATATGTAAATGTGTGTGTGTGTGTGTATGATTGTACAGTGAGGGAGCCAGAAAAATCTAGTGTGAATTATTGAATAGTGATTTCATTTAATATAAATAATGATATGTATTAAAATTTAACTAACTGTTTTAAAATGAGAGTGGAAAAAAAAAGGAGAAGAAAAGAAAAGAAGAATGATTTGATCAAAGCAATGAAACCATTCAGATTTGAAATAGTCTGTAACTTATATGGAATTTAAAAGTTATTTACTTGAATTAATCGTGGATGAGTACTGCCACTGAGGAGTCCCATAATAGAACGAAACGGTTGTTCAGTGCTTCCTGGTTTATCATGATAGTCTAGCTTCAATTGATTCATGATCATATCTCTATAAAATTACTAAAATCTTCATCAAATCTTTTCTGAAAATAATGTAATTGTTAATCTAAATAATTAGGCTTAAGTTAAATTTTGATTGATGTTTATAGATTAGTTGAATTACTTTACAATCTCAAAGTATTGTGGTGTGGTCTACTTATATTCATATAAGTAGTATATGGTGTTGATCAGACATGAAATGTATTTTTGCAGAAAACAGATGAGGAAAGAACTGGAATAAAGCACAATCGATAGGAAAATGCATGACCAATGGAATGAAAGAAGAAATAGTGAAAATTGGAACAATTGGTTGTTAATTAGCAAATTGATTGTTCATTTTATGGTTATCAGAATTTACTGAGATAGTCTGTAATGTTTGCTTAAATACATTCGATTATCCCCAACCAGTATTCTGTTCATTACAGTATCTCTAGAGTTCTCAATAGATTAGAACTGTGATAATCAGTTTATTTTCCAGAAGAATGAATTAATGTGATTAATGAGGTTAGAATATTTCGTTTATAGTTTAGAAATTGTAGTGTTGACATTAAACAATCTTGTGAATTCAACTCTTAATCTATCTTGGTCAGAATTCATATGGAGCGATGAGACATTTTGATGGAACCTAATAATACCGTTAATCATAAATGTATTCTTTTTTTAAAAAAAAATATTTCAATGACTAGAAAACTATCAGTATGGAGTTGTGGCGATTATTCAGTTTTCTAATTGAGATCATGGACTGATCGATGTTAAACCACTGATCATGGTTGTTCAGTACTTCCAGGTTTTCAATGATGGTCTAATATCGATTGGTTCATGATCTCGATTAGAAAACTGTATGTCTGACATTTTGTGATTTAATTTTAGTTAATTCTTCAGAGTAAAGAAATTATTAAAACAAAATTAACATAATTCATTTTTGTATTTGTTGTTTGAATCTTTCGATTGATGTTTAGAATTGATGTTGATCAGTCTCCTACTGGTGTATGTGAATCCTGTAGGGATTGCCTCGATAATGTCTTTAGTCACGAGCATTATAACCAGGTACATTCAGCGGACGAGTCTAAAATAGAATGAAACGTTCATCCTGGATTTCACCGTTAACCAACATTATCTCTGCTTAAAATTAACACAAGTTTAAATAGTCCAAAGGAAACAAATCCGAATATAAAAATATCATTAAAAATCAACATTTTAATCTGCTGAGTCACTTTAGCGTTCTGTTTAGCAAGTTCGTTTTCTGAGGTATGGGGTTGCTGACGCTATGCCTAACCTTCCTTTTTTACCCGGGCTGTGGATCGGCAAAAACCATAGAGGGACTATAGTGTTCTATGAAGAATGATAGTGAGGGCCTATGCTCCTCCACGAGCAGCAACAGGCGTAGTTAAATAAGTAAGTTAATCACTCTAGGTAGTATAAGATACTAAATTTATTTAGTATTGTTTGTTTGAATCTTCTCATCGATGTGTTAGGACTGCGACTGGTCAGTCTCTAATTGGCATATGTGCATACTGTGCGTATTGCCTCGATATTACCTTAATTCACAAGCATGGTAAGCAGAGATGTATAGTGGCTAGTAATTCATGTAACAGATTGAAAAATCTTATTTGACATTTCCATAAATAAGTTTTCATGGATTAATTGAAGTTAGACAATAATACCATCGGTTACCTGCTCAGTGGTCTAAAGGTTAGGCGTCCAAGTGCGAAATAGATAGATCCTGTGTTCTAATCTCATGGGCGAGGTCATGAATGCTTATTACTAAATAGTTCTATACTAATACAAAACAACTGTTTATTACTTCTTAGTTTTTCATGATGATGCAACTTTAATTGATTCATGAATTCAACTATTAGATATCATATCAGAATAAGTTTTGTGGATGTTATAGTAATTTAAATAGTTGAAATCATGAATCAATTGAAGTTAGACCATCATTGAAAACCTGGAAGCACTGAACGGCCGTTTCATCCTGTTGTGGGACCTCTCAGCAGTGCGCATCTACGATCCCGCCTCGCAAGATTCCAGCCCAGGACCTATCACTCTCACCTCTAGACCACTGAGCCTGCATCCGACGATGTTAATGTCTAACTTCAACCGATCCACGATGTTTGAGCAACCGTTCACCAATGTCTTCAGTGAGTTACTATTTCATAACAGACACAGTTGAACTATACTGGTCTCACTAGAACTCAAGGAAATATCTCTTGAAGCCAGTCACTACTGAGCATATTTTGATTATTATCAGAAGGGGGATTTGTGGATATTATAGTAATTTTAACAGTCCAGTGCTTCCAAGTTCTCAATAGTGGTCTAACTTCAATTGATTCATGATCTCAACTGTTCAACTTATTAGATATTAATAAATGATTTCTTCTTCTTCTTCTTCTCTTTTTTTCTATTCTTCATATCAGATCTAATGAATACCCATCTATTGAATAAAACGAATGAAAAAGAAATTTTCTATTATCCTCATCATCATCCTCCTCCTCCTCATCATCATAAGAATTTAATCAAGAAATCAAGAAAAGCACGTACAGCCTTCACGGATTATCAGTTAACTGAATTAGAACAAAGTTTTGATCGTCAAAAATATTTAGCTGTACAAGATCGAATAGAATTAGCAAGTAAATTAAATTTAACTGATAGACAAGTTAAAACATGGTATCAAAATAGAAGGTAATTACTAATATTACTGTCATTATTATTATTATTATTATGGAAGCACTGGACGGCCGTTTCGTCCTATTGTGGGACTCTTCAGTAGTGGAGTTCAACTAGGTCTGTTGTGAGATATCAACTCACTGAAGACATTGGCGATTAGTTGCTCAACTTCGTGGATTCGTTGAAGTTAGACATTAACAGCGCTGGATGCCGACCGGCTCAGTGGTCTATCGGTTAACTGCTCTGGCGCTAGACTGGTAGGTCCTGGATTGGAATTTCGAGGGGCGATGTCGTGGATGCGCACTGCTGAAGAGTCTCACAATAGGACGAAACGGCTGTGCAATGCTTCCAAGTTTTCCATGGTGGTCTAGCTTCAATTGACTTATGCTTTCAATTATGCAAATTATAATTAATATTTATTTATCTTTATTGAACTCATTCATATTGTGATGTGGATTGCTTATATGCATATAAGTAGTATCTGGTAATGGTTATGGTCAGGCATAGAATGTATTTTAGTAGAAGGTTGATAAGGAAAGAACGGGAACGAAACATAATTGGTGTGAAAATGTATGAACAATGAGACCAGAGGTTATATAAAATGACCGCGCCTTCATAGCTGAGGCATGGCACTTCGACCAATTGTTTCCACGCTCACCATTGTTGACTTTCTAGTGGTACATGCTGAATATAAATTTTATCAGTAAGTATACGTTCAGCTTCAAAGATTATGTGGTAATGAACTAATGCTATTACAGTATGACTTATTTTTAGCTTCTGGAAGGTTGGTGGTTAGATTTGGTCAAGTTTGGGAATTCCACGAGTATATCCTGGAATTTCTTAGTTGTTACTGTCAAATTTTGTACCAAATTTAGATAAGTAGTGTTGTGGTCTGAATCGCTTACATCCACATAAGTAGTATATGACGACGGTCAGACATAGAATGCATTTCACTAGAAGATTGATAAGGGAAAAACGGAAACGGTATGAAAATGCATGAACAATAATAATCAGAGACGATGGACTGATATTTGCAGAAGGAATGGTCAAGATTCAGACAATTGATTGATGGTTTGCAAATTAACTGTTTACGGTATGGTTGTCATATTTTAGTGAGGCAGTCTGTAATTTTCGTGGCAATGACATTCGTTTGTCCCCACTCATGTTCCTGCTCACTATAATAGTATAAACCAGATTAGTATTTTCATATTATTATTGTGTGATCAACAGTATAATCTCACATTTTTATGGTAGGTTGTTATTCATGAATGATCAATTCAACATTTTCATAAACTTCAAATCTGACTTAGAACCACGGTAACAACCAAAATCCAGTAAAGTTTTTTAACATGATTGAATCTATACAGCTATTAAACGGTATCGAATTCACTTAGTATTGTTTGTTTGAATGTTCTCATTGATGTTTTAGGACTGAAACTGGTCAGTCTCTAATTGGCATATGTACATACTGTTGTGTATCGCCTCTATATAGCCTCAATTCACAAGCATTATTAACAAAGATGGATAGCATCTAGCAGCGGAATCGAAGACGCGCGTTTCGTCCTATTTGGGACTCGTCAGCTGGATGTGTCTGCATTTCAGACTTGTTGGTGTTCACTCTGGAACTCGAACCCAGTACCTTTCGCTTCAAACGCCGTCGCGTTATCTTCTCGGCCACTGAGTACTGTATCATTCTATAGATTTGATTACATAGACTATGAACATACTACTGAAATCTTTAAGCTCATTATTCATGTTTCTTGATATAGTGGCTAAGTGAAAACATAGAGAATATATTTTCTCACAGCATATTAAAGGGGCTGTTGAGAAAGACAATCTCTAAACATCTAAATAAATTAAACACATACTCATCAAGACAAATGTACAATGGAAGAATATGACTATATCATCATCATGATTTTAATTCACTCAAATCATTAGTCGATCTATATTAGTTCGTCAGTAAAAATCTAAAAGCATTGGATGGCCTAGTGTAGGACTCCTCAGCAGTGTACAGCCATGAACCTAAAGATTTTGGGTTCAAGTCCCATGTACAGGATCATAGATGAGCACTGCTGAAGAGTTCCTTACTAAAATAAACAATCTTTCAGTGACTCCAGGTTTTCACTGATGGTCTGTCTCAGATCGATTCATGAAATTTACTATTAAAGTTTTATTTTTATTATCGAATAAAAATCACAACATCAATCACATTGAATGTTCTTGACTTGAAGCTGATCATATTCAACCTACTTTCTTTCTTTCTTTTCTTTTACACTATCAATACTATTAGAACAAAATGGAAACGTCAAACAGCTGTTGGTCTTGAATTAATGACAGAAACTGAAAATTTTATAGCAATACAACATTTAATAGAACAAAATCCATTTTGGGCATATCATCCAACAGTGAAATATATTTTATCAAATATAAATCCTATTCATAAATCATCATCATCGTCGACTACATTGACGACGACGATGACGACGACGACGACGATGACATCAACAACAACAACAAAACCAATAACAGTGAACATATCATTGAATAATCAAAATTCATCCTTAGTAACAACAGAGGCAAATGAGTTGGCAACTAAAACAACACCAACGATTTCAGATGTCGGTAATCATAATCATCATCACCACCATCAATATCATCAACATCATCAAGACTATAAACAACATCTTCAAAGTACTTATCCTAGGATATTAAATGCGTTGCCAGTTAGAAGAAACTCATTAAATGATGAAGACCATGTTCATATAAAACCATCCTTATTATGTATTCCTTCATCGAATAATCCATCATTCTATACAAAATCAATAAATTTAGAACAATTAGAAATCAGAAAAAAATCAATAAATTCATTTAAAAATCAATCAATCATTAATCAATTTATTGATATACAACAATTATGGTCAATCATACCATCATTAAATCAATCAATCAATAATGAATATTCTAATCTTCTTCCTTCTTCTTCATCATCTTCTTCATCTTCATCAACATCATCTGTTCCTGGTATTTGTTGTCATTCATTAATTGAAGGAACTTGAATGATTCAATCCTTCTTAGATAAAGTTTTTTTTTTCTTTTTTTTTGTAATGGTTACATAACAGATTGTTTTTCAACAGAATGTATTTAAAAAAGACATTTTCTTAATGAAAAGAGGTTTATCATTTGAAGAACTTCTTTAGAATATAAAGGACTTTTCAAAGATCTTCAATTTTGAATCGTTTCATTGTAATATTGTAGTGAATGGAAACATAAGTGAGAACAATGAAATGGATCTGAATACAAGATTTTAGAACATCTTAGTCGAATGTTTCATTTGTAAAAGTTAATCAATTGTTTTTGATGGAGTTTTGTTTTTTGAGCTGGATGGTTTGGTCGTCAGCACAAACTTTGGGTAGAATACTTCATTTCTACCTGAAATGTTTGCTGGTGATGTCATTCAGAAGGACGATGAAAGCTCTAGGACTAAACTATCCAGCTAAGATAACAAAACTTCATCAAAATCATTCACTTGAGCTACAAATCTTCACCATCTGGTTAATCAATCGTCTTAGAATTCATTGTTCATTCGTTTCTACACCAATTATTCTTTGTTCTCATTCTCTTTTCTTTGATCTTTTTAGCCTTCTGTCACTAGATATTTCACTATTGATTGATGATATATACTACTTATATGTGTCGATGTTAGTAGCATACTTCACAAACACTAATGTGTTGTGCATTGTCAGAATTTCATGATATATAAGAGAAAGAAGAAATTTCAGTAAGTCTTCATAATAGACTACACAGAATATTGAATCAATGATTGCCATAATGATTAGCGATTCTGTGAATATTTTCAGGAAATATTGTTCAGTTATGTTATATCTAGAGCTTTGATTCTTACTATACCTACTTGAATGATCGAGCCCACAAAGTCGCAAGAGAGAAGACAGAAGACTACTAAGTAGGAACTTTATTTCCCAAAACAGTGTCAAAATATAGTACAGAAATCTCATGTATTTATAGTTATTGGCTGAATGTAAATCATCATTTCGGTCAACCAATAGGCACATAGGGGGTCATTCTTATCCATCCAATAGGGAAGCTACACGTCAACATTCTAGAATATTTCCCTAGAAGTGATTGGATGGAATGTCTTCGGCTCTTTCTGGGCTTCTTTAAGGCTTCCTAGTTTACCAACGAGTCATCCTTACAAGTTACATTATGTAATACAGAGTTCAGTAAGATTACACTGTTATCTCAATGAGTTGCATTGGCTTTAGTTGGTTGGACTGTCATCTTTGTTCCATCATAATTTAAGTTATTCACTGATTTAGATCAGAACTAAAAGATACAAATCTAGAGTCACTTAAATGTATAATACTAAGTTGAATGATTGTTTGAATTTCTCCACATGTGGTTCACAGCTCATCCTGGGCACTTCAATGTTGATTGGTTCTTGTCGACCTTAAATCTGTCATTGTTCATTTCTTTGTTTTGGTTGTATCTCTCATTGGTTTGATTTTTGTTCCTATGTTTTTGCATAATTTTCCTGATTGGTTGATAAATTGAATTTATTTCAGTGTGCTTGTTTATTGCTGATTGACTTAAGTGCTGATGATGTCGTCCAGAAGGACGATGAAAGCTCCACGACCAAACCATCCAGCTCAGAGAATAAAACTCTATCATAAGCTGAATGATTCTCTAATTGTAATGCTCTGGTGAAAAACTGCTTAATGAACAGTCATCTTATTCAGAGAGTGATAGTGATAACGTTCATGATTGTGTAAGTGAATACTAATTTAACTAAAGACTCATTATAAGATTGAACAAGAATTAAAGCTAGTTGAAATCATGAGTCAATTGAAGCTAGACCACCATGGAAAATCTGGAAGCACCGGACGGCCGTTTCGTCCTATTGTGGGACTCCTTAGCAGTGCCCATCCACCATCCCGCCTCGTGAGATTCGAACCCAAGATTATTCAACAGATATATATATATATATATATATATATATATATATATATATATCGTCACTAGCTTACATATAATAAGTAACTGTTGAACCTTAAGGAGTACTGGATAGTTAATTTATACTTCTGTATAGCAAATCAACAGCTCTTGTCATTAAGGTATCATATTATTGAATAGAAATACATGAAATACGGTGGTCAATATATTATTATTGTTGTTAGAATGGGGGTTTGTGCTCACTAGTGATTGGCTTCAAGATGGATTTCCTACAGTCCTAGTTAGAAGCCGCGACCAGTGGAGTCCAATCTGTGCCGGTTATGAGACAGTTATCTACCTCAGACAATGGATCGATTGAAGTTAGATTTTAGCATCGTTGGATACCAGCTCAGTGTTCTAGAGGTTGAGTGTTCTCAAACCAAACCAAGGGTCCTGGACTCGAGTCCCTTTTGGTGTGGAATCGTGGATTTATACTGCTTAAGAGTCCTATATTGGGACGAAACGGTGTTCCAATGCTTCCAGGTTTTCATTAGAGATCTAGATTAGGTTGACTCATGAATATATCTATTAAAAATATATTATTGTCTGAACAATCAATTCAAATACATTCGTATAAGTTTCTAACTATTTGAAATTTAGCAAACTGATTTTGAAAAAGCTCTATTTACCGAATAGTAGTAGACCATAAATAGTTGGCACGAAAACATTCAAGTTTTCCTAGTAGTTTTTCTATCCGTTCGTTACTAAGCACTAATGGATAAGATGTATTTAGTATATGGAGAAATCAAATAATCGTAGGCATTAACTTCATCTACTTCATAAATAGAGTATTAAACTACCCATTTAATATGTTTATCAATGATCTTATCCATCTCTCTTTATAATCATTGAGTCGAATAACCTGTACAGTGTTCTGTAGTTTTCAGTGGTCCATCCAGTTAATATCAACCTTGTTGAAAGAGTTACTTGAAAACTGTTTGCAACAAATCTCCATAAATGAGCAAAAGTGGATGATAGCTAACAGTGGAATCCAGGACGCGCGGAGTTGATGTTTACTTTAGGACTCGAATCCATTACTATATACTTCAAGCATCATTACATTATCCACTTAGTACATCCTGGATTCCACTTATAGCCACCATCTATCTGTTTTTGACTTATCGACAATAGCGTGACATAAGATATACATATACTACTAAGAGACTGATCAATTGCAGTTCTAAACTCAATAACTAAGTTTCATAAGATGCTTCCGACAATATTTAGATAAATATTAAACTTTTCAAAAAACTGCGGCTAGCAATGGAATCCAGGACGCACGTCACCTCGTCCAAATCGGGACTCGTCATCTGGATGTACCTGCATTCCAGAGTTGATGTTCACTCCGTGACTCTAACCCAGTACCATTCACTTCAAACGCCATCGTATTATCCACCTGGCTCCTAGATTCCACTGCTAGCCACTATCCATCTTTGCTTAGAATGCTTGTAAATTAAAGTTATATCGAGGCAATACACACAATATGCACATATGCCAATAAGAGACTAATCCATTACAGTCTTAAACATCAATGGGAAGATTCACACAAAACAATACCAAATGACTTTAAACAAATTAAGCATTTAACATATATAGAGAGAAGAAGAAAAAGTAATTTATATCCGCCTTGCTTTAATCGACAGTTACTATATTCTCCTATCAACTATAAAGAGATTTAAACCAAACTAAAAACAAGTACCTAATCTAAATGAGGATAAAGAAGTCAACAATGAACCATTACTAATGAAATATTCTATCATTTTCACAGATATTTAATATTCAATGATTGACAGAATAAATCATAGATATTTTCAATGAATTCCCACATGTAATAATAGTAATAGTAATATTACTACTACTATTATTATTATTATTATTACTACCACCACCATCACTACTACTACTACTACTACTACTACCACCACCACCATTACTACTACTACCACCATCACCACTACTACTACTACTACCACCACCATCATTACTACTACTACCACCATCACCACTACCACTACTACCACCACCACTACTACTACCACCACCACCACTATTACTACTATTACTACGACGACTACTACTACTACTACCACCGATAATAATAGTAGTAGTATTAGATATGTTTAATATGCATGACACTAAAGATATTTAACAACCAACTACCATTTTCAATGTTTAACCTAATTGTAACATACACACACACGTACACAACTCCATTGAGTTACATGGAATTACAAAAAAAAAAGGGAAAGTTATTAAGTGATCACTGTAAAAGGAGTTAATTACCAACTTTTAATTAACTAAAACAGTTGAGATAATTTTAAAATGTCAATCATTATTATTTTCTAAATATTATCCAAATATAAATTGGAATAGGTTTGTTAAGTAATTCATACATTTCATATCACTTATTCTAAATAAAGTATAACAATGATGTTTGGTAGAATGTTTTATTAGTTGAATTGATGTGTTGATCTAAGTCAGACTACCAGTGAAAATCCAGGAAGTAGTGGATGAATGTTACGTCACGAAACAGGACTCCTCAGCAGTGCACATCCATGATCCTGTAAAAAAGAAGCTCAAATCGGAGAACTTCAGTTTCGCGCGCGGACGCCTAACCCATAGACCACTGAGCCAGCATCCGATGATGTTAATGTCATGCTCACTATTGACTAGCTTCAAGATGGATTTCCTACAGTTTAAGTGAGAATCCATGACTAGTGGAGTGAAATCTGTGATGGGTATGAGACAGTTATCCACCTCAGACAATGCATGAAGTGTTGCTCAAGATCATGATCGATTGAAGTTAGATATTAACACAGTTGGATACCGGCCCAGTGTTTTAGAGGTTGAGCGGTCGCATGCCAGACTGAAGGTCCTGTGTTCGATTCTAGGAGTGAACATCAACTCAGAGATGTAGACAAATCCAGTAAACATGTCCCAAATGGGACGAAACGTGCATCATGGATTTCCCTGTTAGCCACCATCTATATTTGGTTATAACGTTTGTGATTAAAGACAAAATCGAGGCAATCCGTACAGGATACGTATGTGCCAATAAGAGACTGATCAATTTCAATCCTAAACATCAATGGGAATAGATAAGATGGTTTTCGTGTTGTTTGACACTCGTTACAGATACACCTTGTTGACGAGTGACAAGTAGCACGAAACCCGGGTCCAAGGTTTCCTGTTGACCATCTTCAACCACCATCTTATCTCAACATGGTGTATGCAATGTAGAGTCACCTAGACTAGTGGCCACATTGCAACTTGGTCGATAGCATTCGATCTGCACTAAAAAAAGACTTGACACATATGACATTAATCGCCATCCAGTGATCAATCAATTGTGATTAATGAGAAGATTCAAACAAACAAACAATGAATCCCAACTATTTTGACGTTTGAAAAACATCACTTTTGGAAAACAATATTTAGATTTTTGGGTGCCCATGTTAATAAGTAGTAAGTTGTACAGTTTTATTATTTGTTTTACAGTAATGATCTACCTTAATATTCACTGCATTCATATTTGAAGTCATTTCTTTTTGGCAATGACAAGCAGGTTATTATAAGTTCTATTTTGTTTAACCTTGGCTATATCAAAAGGTGAGTCTTGGTGAATAATAGTTATTTGATAAAAACAGAAGATTAATACAAACTGATACGCTTGATGCTAATACGAGTCCACCTTACTCGATGAAGGTCAAAAACACAGTGACACAATAGGTTATTCTAATCCGTTGTCCTCGGCCCTCCGAACTAGATCAAGAAGTCTTGATGAGACATAGAAGAATGTATTCTACAAGCCTCCAGGAAATACGAGGTCACTTAACACACAAATCAAGCTTATTCATACAATGATAGAAACGCCCTTGGGAGAGCCACAAAATAGAGTACGAAAAAATCCGTCAACCAATGACAGTCAAGTATTTTCAAGTGAGAAATGTAAGTTGTAGGTCAACTAAGAGTCTCTTGGTGCGAAAACATAAATTAAAATTCATTTAGTATTGTTTGCTTGAATCTTCCCATCGATGTGTTAGGACTGCAACTGGTCAGTCTCTAATTGGCAGATGTGCATACTGTGCGTATTGCCTCTATATAGCCTTAATTCACAAGCATTAGAAGCAAAGATGGATAGTGTCTAGCAGTGGAATCCAGTTGCAGCCCTAACACATCGATGGGAAGATTCAAACAAACGATACTAAATGAATTTAAACTTCACCCCATTGCACAAGCAAGTGACTAACATGACTCAGTAGCTAAATGGATAACGCGATGGCATTTTAAGCGAAAGGTACTGGGTTCGAGTCCCAGAGTGAACATTAACAAGTCTGAGATGAAGGTACATCCTGCCGACGAGCCCCCCCCCCAAATAGGACGAAACGCGCTTCCTCAATTCCACTGTTAGCGACTATCTATCTTTGCCTACTATAAAATTAAAACTTTCAAAATGAAATTACAAAATTGAGACCTTTTCCAAATGAGTTCTGGGGATCCAATGTCCTCAACACAAATTCATATTGATTCAATTAAATACTAATTAAATTTAGTGATCATGAATTAAAAAAAGGATTGCTTCAACGAAAAATCATAGTACTTATAAGTAGTATAACGAAAATGAGTTGAAAACCAAACCAACAAATTTTACATTAATTCAATGTGTACTAAACATCAATGAATATGAACCATCTCAAAACATTTAGTATTATTTGTTTGAAGCGTTTGAAGCGAAAGGTACTCGGTTTGAGTCCCAGAGATGCAGGTACATTCAGCTGAAGAGTCCCAAATAAGACGAAACGCACTTCCTGGATTCCACTGCTAGCCACTATCCATCTTTGCTTCATCTCAAAACAGTTTATGGATTTGAAGATTAATTTCTTTCTTATATATTGTAATTTGGGCTTTAGCATCTCTAACACAAATAAATATGTGTTAGTTACTATTTCAGGGTTACGCGTTAAGTGGGATATAAACTTGAGGGACTATTATAAGTAAATGTGATATTAAGAACCAATCAGAAGTAGCTTAATGAGAGGGTCAATCGATGGCGATCAGAAGTTAGCTAAAGGAAAGGTGAATTTCATTGGCTAAGAAATGAATTAATTTCCTAAGGGTTAGAGTAATATATATGAGCACAATACACTTATGTTCTCAATCAAGTAGTCAGTCGGGGGTTAACGCATAGCACACAGTGTGTCAGAATCAGATTTTATACACCATCCTTAACACCAGTTTCTGGTGACGGTGATAGGATGAATTATGTATATCAGTCAGTCAGTCTGTCTGTCACAACGTAGAAATTCGTACGTACGTACATCCGTTCGAGTTACCATACCACATTAACACAGAGATGCAGTTGTCCATTCAAATCCCATAGTGGTAGAAGTAGTAAGAGTATAAGCAGTAGTCCAATAGGTTGATGCTATTCAAGAAGCATAATCCAGTTAAATCAATTTGGAAAGAGAGAAAAGATAGAGACATGAAGTCGTGGAGATAAGAGAGTTATTAGGTGTAGGAAGGATTTGAATATAACCAACTGGGTCTCGTGTGCAGTTAAAGGGTATGAGGGCTAATATCACTTCCCGACTGTCAACACTGTGGAAGGGTATTTCTTGAGGGACCTGACAAAGAAGTCGGATTAGGGTTGGTCTTAACGACCTGGGAGCGTGACCACAGTGCCCAAAGGACAACTGCTTGAGGCTGATCACGCACGACCTTTTTGTGGGGTATTTTTGACGTGTTAGCTCCGTTCTTCAAAGAGCCTTACTGCCGAAGACGGATATTCATGAGATAAGGCGAGGTGTGCATCTTTAGGGTCAACTTTTTCTAAACCCACCCCTCCTTGTGGGAAGGCAGCATCGCTGTTATGCTGGTTGTCTGAAGGAATCACCTTACTGCCGTCAAACCTCTGTACAATCGGCAGTACGACTTCGGACCTTGATTTCGCTGCTTTTAGTCTTACCGCTCTTCAACCGACCTGTCTGGCATGGTAGGACCTTGAGGAACGAGTGTTCTAACCTATATAGCTCGATTGGTTCAACACGATAGGCAAGCCCGACCACCACGTCAAGGTAGTAGCAACGGAATAAAGAACATCTACAAAGTAGAACTGTGGAGAGTTGAACTTTCATAGTCTTCACATCAGCAGCAGTAACCTGCCTACCAGTTCGATCTTTCATACCGGTTTCAAATTTTCTTTTGAGGACAATCTTCTGGTCTATGGATCACAAACCATCCATGAACTATTACAAGGATGATTGTGTAGCATCTTGTATGATTTTATGACATATTCCTAACTGTCAAAGTTTACACGGAATCTTGATTAGCAGTTTCGAAAGTTAGACAGTTTTTCGGATGAAGCTTTTCATCTAGTCTTACTTTTCTGCCTCTACATAGATAATTGATCAATTTTAAGAAACATGTATTATTCTAAACTAAAATAATCAACTGAGTAGAAGTAAGAGGATTCATACGACCAATGGAAGATTTTCAAATATCCTTTGTTCTGTTGTTAGATGTTCTCGTCAATCACCATTCAAACACAACCCTTCACTTGTACCTTAGCCTAATCTAACCATCCCAGTATCCATAAAGCTAGATGGATTTAAAAAGAATGAAGACATGTAAATACTAAAGCGAACAGTATGAGAAATTGAATGAATGAAATGAAGGAATATGAAAATGTAACAGATTCAAAGTCAAGTGAGATGAGAGCATAAGCTCAGCGGTTTTATTATTATTATTATTCCCAAAGGAGAACTATTATAGTTAAGATCATGAGTCAATTGAAGCTAGACTACCATTGAAAACCTGAAAGCACTGAACGGCCGTTTCGTCCTATTGCGGGACTCCTCAGTGAAAGTGCTCATCCGCGATCCCGTCTCACGAGATTGAAACCCAGGACCTACCAGTCTTGCGCCAGAGCAATTAACTGACAGACCACTGAGCCGGCCGGCATCCAACGGTGTTAATGTCTAAGACGACTGTTTCCTAACCCTTCAGGACCTAGCATATTACTGAACAGTAAAAATATCAGAAGTCATCATCTAACCTATACCTAAAAATTATTATTACTATTAAGTTAAAAAGAAGGTTATACATATTTTGAGCCAACCTAAAATTACTGTTTGAAAGTGATTGAACGAGTGATATCGATTCTTATTAGAAAAGGGGGTTTGTGGAGATTATAGTAATTTTAATAGTTGAATTCATGAATCGGATAGAGGCAGGTAACTAACTCAGGTAATTGATAAATGATTGAGCAAGATCATGATCGATTGAAGTTAGACATTAACACCGTTGTATGTCGACTCAGCTGCCTACAGGTTAAGCGTTAGCTCGTGAGATCGAAGGTCCTGAGTTTGAGTCTCTTAAGCACAGGATAATGGATGTGTACCACTGAAAAGTCCCATACTAGGACGAAATGGCCGTCCAATACTTGCAAGTGTTCTATGGTAATCTAGCTTGGATCGACTCCTATGCTCCTCCATGAGAAGTAACAGGCGTAAGTAAGTAAGTCGCTTTCTATGAGATGGTATTGCTGACCTCATGCCCAACGCTTCTCCTTTTCCCGGGGCTTACGACTGTCAGTAACTCTAGAAGAGATATATGCAAAGTTACTAAGATGATTTATGTAAAAATAACAAAAGAATATGATCTGAAAAAAACTTATAATACATGACAATTAAGGTAAATTCTTGTTTTAAGATGGTGGTTGTAGGTGATCAACAGGAAACCCTGGACCCGGGTTTCGTGCTACTTGGCACTCATTAGCAAGGTGTACCTGTAATCACCACCCAGTGATCAATCAATTGTGAAATTTTTATTATGTCATACAATCAATATTTGATTCCATTGAATAGTTGACAATATAGTAGTAGACAATATGGTTTCTTTTTTTCTTAATCCTGAATTATTAAAACCAAAGTTAAGTATATAGAAACTATCTTTTTACCTATTTTAAATTATACATAATCATATTCAAATGACAAGTTCCTCTTAGTCTTTCTTTGAATTGTTTTTAGTTTATGTAATAGATTGTTATTGAATAAGGAACAGACAGTCAGTCAGTCAGTCAGTCAGTCAGCCAGGATATATAGATAAGTTCTTTAGCCGCATTGTCTTGTATGTCTTGAGAATAAAAGAAAGACAATTTGTTTTGTATTTTCTTTATTATTACTTTATTCAACACACCGTTTGTTGATAACTAACACAGAGTTGCACTATTAGTCTGGATTTCATTGAATGTTTCAGTAATTGTTATATCCTAGTGAAGATATAAGTACGGGTAACTCCCGGGATCTATTAATGGATTATGATTCTATATATATTCTTATTGTTTAACTATTGAGCAATTAAATTGCGTATATCTATATTCATCTTATTATAAGCTTCATTTTGACCTATAGATTATTATTATACGATTTACTGTCCCCAAATTATGTTCAGATTATAAATTACCGTCTCCCACGTTCACAGCCACATTTGGTTTGATCTTGTACAAAGATTGTTTCCTATTTTATGGTACGATGCCGGTTTGTCTATCTAGTATATAAACCGAGTATGCTCGAAATTAATGATTCGCATAGATTGGCATAGCAGAAGCTGTTATTGGTGTTCTGGATTCAATTGGAAGGGCTAGGCGGACAAGGGACCCATAAGGACGCTAGACTACTTATACCGGTCGAACGTCATTGATTTAGCACAGTGTTAAGATTGCAAAAGTCGTATTTCGATTAGTGGATAATTCACGTGATAAAAAGCCGGATATAAAATCAATAACGAATTGGATATGATGTTCTTATTTTATAGTCACAACAGTATTCATATGACACCTTTCCCTTAGATCATATTTTGTTTTAGACTGTTATTGAAATTATTATACAAACGATATCTGAGGGCAAGGATCCGCAAGCCAAGAGCAGCATATTTACAACTGAAGAACATCTGAAAGTCAAAATAATTGTCAACCAACACCAAGATCGGAATTTTCAATACAAATGTGAAGACAGTTCTACTGTATGGGGCGGAGACGTGGAGGACTACGAAAGCCAATATCCAGAAGATACAAATGTTTATTAACAGTTTTCTACGCAAGATACTTCAGATCCGTTGGACAAACACTATCAGCAACAGGTTACTGTGGGAGACAACAAACCAGATTCTAGCGGAGGAAGAAATTAGGAATAAGCGCTGGAAGTGGATAGGACACGCATTGAGGAAATCACCCAACTATGTCACAAGACAACCCCTCACATGGAATCCTGAAGGCCAAAGGAGAAGAGGAAGATCAAAGAACACATTACACTGAGAAATATAGACAGACATGAGAAGAATGAACAAAAGATGGATAGAACTAGAAAGGAATGACCAGGACAGAGTGGGTTGGAGAATGCTGGTCGGCAGCCTATGCTCTATTGGGAGTAACAGGCATAAGTAAGTAAGTAAGTAAGTAATCTGTGTATCACGTAAGCATTAATTGTATAGAATAAAATGAATACAATGCTAATTATGTTACTGATATAGTGGGGTGAATAGTACAGAAGCTTGACTTGAAACTATCTATATGGGAGATTATTATTTATATTTATATTACAGAAACACTTATACTTTCATTTTTATATTCTCCTATTTCCGAACTTTTGTTTGAATGATAACTCTCTGTTAACTGCCTTATTCCCCTACTACTCTGATCTTGTATCACTAAGGACTGGTTTATATATGCATTCTAATTTTCTAATTATGTTGTTGTATGGTAAGATATTTCAAGTTTGTTATTATAAGAATTTTGAGTTACAATTGAATTGAGTTTTATGGAGAATTGACCTTTTCTTTGACCACTGGATTGTAAGGATGTCGAGAACCAATAATGATTAACTTCTTACCAGTTGTTCGTATTATTAGATATGTCAGTTGGTAAATAAAAAGTCATTGGTCTAAATATGGTTAAGGTATCGTTATGGGGATTTGCGGTGATTGTAATATTTTTACTAGTCAATCTAAGCTAGACCAGTATTGGAAACCTAGAAGCTTCGAACTGTTCCAAAGTGCGCACTCACGATTCCGGATGTAGGACTCGAACATAGGACATTCGGTCTTGCCTCCCAACGATAAATCTTTTGACTACTGCAAAAATACTACAACCTACACAAATCCCTATACTGAGAAAACGTTTTACCCACTAGTGATTAGTTTCATGTTGTAACTTCTGGAGTTCAAGTGAAAAGCCATGACCAGTGAAGTCCTATCCGTGTCGGGCGAGGACAGATATCCATCTGAAAGAATTGATAATTCAACTAGAGAGAGGTTAAACAATTACTTTCCTGTCATTATGATCCAATCACACTGGACCTAACACAACCCGAAATTCACTAAATTCTGATAACCATACAGCAAGCTGTTAATTTGCAAAATAACAAACAATTGTCTCAACCTTCATTGTTCTTTCAGTAAATATTAATCCATCTTCTCTAATTCCATTGTTCATGCATTTTCCTACCAATTGCACTTCATTTCAGCTCTTTCCTTATCGATCTTCTGCCATAATACATTCTATATCTGACCATCACCATATACTACTTATATATAGATATAAGTAGACCATACTAACTTCATTTATAACACAATATTCCTTATAGAAAAGAATTCTTTATTTGTTGTATTTACTCATGGCTGGAATGGATTCAATAATAAACAAATGCTTACATAGTATTATATAATATTGAGTCCAGTCTTTAAATAATCAAAAACATAATAACCCACTTGTTTGTTCATAAAAATGGATCATTCAAATGAATTCACAGAAGAAGAAGAAGGGAAAAACAAAATTGAATCTGTCTTGTTAGCTTATTACTGAAGGGTTGTAATGAAGGAGAGTAATGAAACAAAGACATTAGTTAGATAAATACAGATGTTCCATATTGTTCTCCTTCTTGAAGTAGATCCATTAAACTTTATCAACAAGATGTTCTAAATTAATGAAATGATCTGATTGTTCATGTCCTTCATGATAATCTTGTAATGGATAATGTTGACAATGATTGTTGAATGGTTGAGTTGAACGCTTCTGTTGTTGTTGTTGTTGTTGTGATGGGGGTGCGGGTTGTGGTGGAGGTTGTTGTTGTTGTGGATACTGTTGTAATTTTCTTAATTGTGATGAACTTCTTCGACAACAATTATTCATGATTGAATGACGTGGTAAACTATAGATATTATTATTATTATTTGTTGTACAATTATTCATAGTAGAATATTTTGTTGAATTTGTTTGACCTAATAGTATCCATGGAATTACTGAAGCTTCTTGACGAAGCCATTGAATATGAATAGGTAGGAAATTGAATTTCTCTTGTAATTGACCATTGGACATATTCAGTAAATCTGCTGGTGTCATTAATAGACATTTATGATTATGTTTATTTGTACTATTAGTACTACTACTATTATTAGTAGTAGTACTATTACTATTAGTAATCGTACTGTTTGTAGTAATACTATTATAATGTAATATATGATTTATATACATAGGTAAACCGATTGTTATTAAAAATTCTTGTAAACTTCCTGTTTTGATACCATCACAATTAAGAAAACGTTGTGATCGAATCTCTTCATTAAATGATATCTAAGAAGAAGAAGAAGAAGAAGACGGAGAAGAACATTGAGAGTTATATCATTGTCCATTGTGGAATACACTATTGACTGATGAAGTTTAAATTCATTTAGTATTGTTTGTTTGAATCTTCCCATCGACGTGTTAGGACAGCAACTGGTCAGTCTCACTCCATCGCACAAGCAAGAGGCTATCAGGACTCAGTGGCCGAGGGGATAACGCGATGACGTTTGAAGCGAAAGGCAATGGGTTCGAGTCCATCGCAGAGGGAACATCAACTCTGAGATGCAGGTACATCCAGCTGACGAGTCACAAATAGGGCGAAACGCGCGTCAAACTGGATTCCACTGCTAGACACTATCCATCTTTGCTTCTAATGCTTGTGAGTTAAGGCAATATCGAGGAAATGCCCACAGTATGCACATATGCCAATTAGAGACTGACCAGTTGCAGTCCTAACACATCGATGGGAAGATTCAAACAAACAATACTAAATGAATTTGTGATTTTGATTATTTCTCAGCTTTTATAACACCTAGATTTATATGTATTGATTATAATACATATTCGGTTTATCACAATTGATTGATCACTCCGCCTGTAGCTCCTCCGTGGGTTACTGCAGATCTCAATCTCGGGTAAAGGAGAATGGTTGGGTATGGGGTTAACGACCAAATCCCGTAAAAAACCAACTTGCTAAAAAGTGCTAACTAGATTGATCACTGAGTGGTGATCAATGTCATGTGTGTCAAGTCTTTCTTAGTGCAGATCGAATGCTATCGACCAAGTTGTAATGTGGCTACTAGTCTAGGTGACTTGACACTGCGTGCAATATGTTGAGATAAGATGGTGGTTCGAGGTGGTCAACAGGAAAACTTGGACCCGGGTTTTGTGCTACTTGTCACTCGTCAACAAGGTATACCTGTAATCTTGAGGGAACTGGTGCTCTCTAACGGATTCAATCCCGTATCGATCTGCACTAACAAGGACTTGACACATATGACATTAATCACCACTCAATGGTCAATCAATTGTGATTGCAACTCAGTCTTACAGGCGTTCTGTTTATCAGTAAACACTATTGGTCAAGATTTAGATCAATTAAGCAAAGTCATATATATATGTATACTCCTTGTTTTCCTAATTGAGGAGGAGTTCATACCAGTGTCGAAATTGGAAGACTACTCAACCAAACATAGTATTAGTTCATTTTTGTATTGGTTATTTGGATCTTATCACTGATATTTAGGGCTGCAAATGTACATTCTCATATTAACATATTTGCATCCTATGATGATTGCCTCAATATTGCCTTAAATCACAAGCATTATTAACAAAGATGAATAATAGCTAGCAGGGGAATCCAGTTTGACGCGCGTTTCGTCCTATTTGGGACACTTCAGCTGGATGTATCTGCATCTCAGAGTTGATGTTCATGCCAGGACTTGAACCCAGTACCGTTCAATTTAAATGCCATCGTGTTATCAAGTCCCGGACACATTCCTCTCTCATAGTGTATTCGTTAGTGTTCATTAATGCACGCACATGATGTGACGTCATAATGATCTGATGATCTCACCGGTGGTAAGAATATTGTTAGCAGAACCTTAACTTAACTAAGACTTCTTTCTAACATGAGAATTTGGGTACGAATATAGAAAAAAGTCAATAACTTATAATGTAACAACTTAAATCGATTAAATATTAAACATACTACAGGTCTTCGTATCTCCCTTAAATTAGTATCCCTTTCAGCTTCTAATGCCATAGCAACAGTAAGAAGATCCAAATTTGTTTCAAATGAATAACGTTGTATTAAACGTAAAGGAATATTTGCTCGACCAGTCTATGAAAAAAATAGAAAATGAAAGATAATTGAACAATTCAACATTAACTACATCAATTAGATCAATAAACTAGGCATGTTTTACTGTACAGGTTTTACAGTTCATATTACCAGAACTCGAAGGTTCTGGGTTCGAATCTCACAAGGTAGGATCGTGGATGCGCACTGCTGAAGAGTCGCATACTAGGACGAAGTGGCCATTCAATGCTTACAAGTTTTCAATGGTGGTCTAACATTCATCGATTCATGATGTCAATAAGATGTTTGCTATTTATAATGCATTAACTTGCCTATTCTCTAGGCTACTGTATTTCTAAATGATAAGGAACAATATCCATGTGTTTCGTGGGTAAGACTATAGCTTATAGACGACCTTTGGGATGCCCACCTACATACCAGGGTTAAACGAGGGTTACACATTTGTATGAGAAATTAGGATTAGAATTTACAGTTAAATGTCAAGGTTAAGAACAAGATCTAATGTTTTCATCATGAACTGACATTATCTATAATACCAAAATGGTATTTAGCCAAATGAGTGAATGAGTTTCGCCCCAAAATTCAAGATCTGCTATCTTAAATGTGATTGGTTCTTCCATAAAAGATAGTCTCGCCGTATCTTGTATTTAAATGTAATTCAATTAAGATTTTCAAAGAATATAAATGATTCTCTCTCTAACTGAATGGATCATACAATGGTCTATCGGTTAAGTGCTCTGGCACGAGAGTGGTAGGTCCTGAGTTTGAATCTAGCGTAGCGAGGTCATGGATGCAGACTGCTGAGAAGTCCCACAATAGAACGAAACTGCCATCCAGTACTTCCAGGTTTTCCTTGGTGGTCTAGCTTTAATTGACTGATGCTTTCAACTATAAAAATACTAAATCTCCACAAAAACCCCTTCTGATAATAAACAATAAGTTATTTGAAGTTCTAGTAGAATGTTGAAACTCGAATACAACCATATTGAATCCTAAGAAGATTGCGATTAAGAAAACGTCTAGTCATTGAATCAATACAGTTATATATTTCTAAAGCAACTTATGGTAATGAATTAGATTTAATGTACGATCGAAGGGGAATTCTAATGAAAATGTAATAAACAGGAATGAAATATATTTGAAGTAACTCTATATATTGACCTCTCAAATAAAAGTACTTACGAACAATGTAAACTATAACTAACCACGTAAGCAAAGATGGATAGTGGCTAACAGTGGAATCCAGTTTGACGCGCGTTTCATCCTGTTTGGGACTCGTCAGCTGGATGAACCTGCATCTCAGAGTTGATGTTCACTCTGCGATGGACTCGAACCCAGTAACTTTCTCTTCAAACGCCATCGTGTTATCCAGCTGACAAGTTCCAAGTAGGAAGAAACGCGCGTCAAACTGTATTCCGATGCTAGCTACTATCCATCTTTGGTTACAATGCTTGTGAATTAAGGCATTATCGAGGCAATACGCACAATATGCACATGTAGCCAATAGGAGACTAACCAGTTGCAGTCCTAACACATCGATGGCAAGATTCAAACAAACAATACCAAGTGAATTTATAACTAACCTCATCAGAATAAGGTGGTTGAGTAAGATCAATATGTTCCGAGTTTAATTTCTTTCTTAATATATACCTAGCTAAATAAATATGTTGAATGTATACATTCTTTGCATCTTCATTTATTGATTGTACTGAATTAGAGATATGATGTTGATTAGGTTGAGGATACTGTACAAAGTGACTTGCAGCCGTCGTTAGGGAAGGAGTCTGTGATGGTTGCATCGGTGTATTCAATAGATTACTTTCTTTCTTTTGTTGTTGTTGTTGATGTCTTGATGATGACAATAGAAATCGTTCATCAATTTTCACAGTTTTTGGTGTAGTTGATGATGATCGTTTTACATTATCGATTTCAGGTTGATTATCTCTGGATAGTCTACTGTTTCGTAGAATACCTACTGGATGTTTCTGCTAAATGAATTGAAGGCAAAAATTTATGAAAGCCAAAAATTGAACACGTTTTAAACATGGTTAATAAAGCATTACAAGAATGGGAACAGTTTTTCCGCGAATCGACCTAATCACTGATTTAAGCAATCAATAATAAAGCTTACAAAATACTTCTGTATAGATCTTTGGCAACTTTGAATCAAATGGAGTTCAGTTTGTATTTCAATCAATGATATTGTTAATGATTTGGTTGCTTTAAGCGTTTTAATCATGTTACTATTAAGGCTATATCGAGGAAATGCGCACAGTATGCACATATGCCAATTAGAGACTGACAAATCGATAGGAAGGTTCAAACAAACAATACTACATGTTACTATTAGTTACAAAATATTAAGCATTCACAACTTCAAATTGTGTCAGGAGGTTTGGGGATATAAGGAACATTATCATAAAGAGTGGACCTATGTCGATATCCTGAGCAGGATTGAAGAAAGGAAGTACAAGAAAACAACAATTAACAACAGTCAAACAAGAGTAGAGATAGTGAAAGCACAGACTGAATACACAGAAACCAACAAGGAAGTAAAGAGGAGCATTAGTCCTAACAAGCAGAAGTATGTGGAAGATCTAACAAGGCCAGTAGAAATAGCTACAAGAGAAGGAAATATGAAACAACTGCATAACACAACAAAGAAACTCGGAGGAGAAGAATATAATAAGTCAGAGAAACCAGTCAAGGACAAATAAGGCAAGATAATCACTGAGATTTAAGAACAGAGAAAGAGATAGGTAGAACACTTTAAGGAACTTTTGAATCGACCAATTTCACTGAATTCACCAAACATCGAAGTAGCACACACTGACCTTTCCATAGATGTTACTCCTTCAACAACGGAAGAAATCAGGATAACCATCAGACAAATGAAGAGTGAGAAAATAGCACTGGTTTGACAATATACCAGCTGAAGCAGTGAAGTCAGACAACAGAAGCAAATGAAAGATGCTTCAAATTCTATTGGAGAAGATTTGAGATGGTGAAGAAGTGCCACTGACAGACTAGAAAGATACCTCATCAGGATACCAAAGAGAAGAGATCTTAGCAAATGTGAGAATTACAGTGGCATCACACTACTATCGGTACCAGGAAACGGTTTCAGCAGAGTATTGTTGAGTCAGATAAAATATTCAGTAAACGCTCAACTTTGAGATCAACAGGTCGAGTTTCGTGATGATCGGTCGTGCACAGACCAAATCATGACACTACTGATCATTGTTGAACAGTCGATTGGATGAACCACGTCACAATACATCAACTTCCTTGACTGGCAGAAAGCATTTGATAGCGTGAATAGGAAAACCATATGGAAACTTCTTCGACACTATGGTGTACCTAATGTCATCAATATCATCTGGAATTCATACAATGAACTACACTGTAATGTGGTGGTATGGAGGACAACTTACAGATGCATTTCAAGTGAGGACCAGAATCAGACAGCACTGCCTACTCCTACTTCTTCTCTTTATTCTGGTGCTTGATTGAATCATGAAGACCTCCACAACTGAGGTGGAGCACGGAATACAATGGATGGATTAGATGCAACTAGAAGATTTGCACTTCATAGTTGAATTGGTTTTCCTATCCAATACGCATCAACAAATGCAGATGAAGACATCTGATGTAGCAACAGCCTCTATATTAGTAGGTTTCAGCATACACAAGGGAAAACCAAGACGCCCAAATACAACACGGAGATTACTTCACACAATTACACATGATGGGGAAGCTCTGGAACATGTGGAATCCTTCACGTACTTGATCACCATCATGGATGATCAATGAGAATCCGATGTAGACATAAAGGTGAAGATTGAAGAACATAAGGAACTCACAACAACTGTCAACCAATATCAAGGTCACAATATTCAATACGAACGTGAAGACGGTTAGTTCTATTGTGGGAAGCTGAAACTTGGAGAAGTGTTACAACCATCATCGAAACGGTGAACGTATTTATAAACAATTATCTACGCAAGATACTCAGTGTCCAATGGTTGGATACCATCAACAACAACTTGGAAGAAGATATGAAAAGGATGAATAGCAACTGCAATGAACAGGAAAGAATTGACCAGGAAATAGTTGATGGAGACTGCTGATGAGTGTCCTATTCTCCTCCATGTGTGGTAACATGAGTAAATAAGTAGGTAAGCTTGTGCATCACTATCTGACCAATTATTCGCTATCACATATTCTTCTTCGTTAACCACTTCCGAAAGTGAGTGCTTTCCATTAGACCATTTGAGATGCTCATTGCAAATATGATTACTAAATATCATTACTTAGTATAATACTCATCTGATATATTTTTGAGAAACCAAGGACAAATAAATAGTTTGAGAGCGTAATCAACTTTCAAGTACTCATTGGTTTCCTACCCATCTTCAGCTATCTCTCCGTGATACAGAACATCTTTAGACTGTCTGGTTATTCTTATCATACCAAATCTCTGAACTTCACTTGAAGTTAAAACTAATTTTTCCGACCAATAACAATATAGGAAGGAATAAACAGTTTAAAAGACAACTTCACCTCTTATGGTTAACACTGTACAACATTGGAATAGTTTATTACATTCAGAAAGTACTTTGGGTTAGAAAGTAGTTGCTATGTAAAACATATTGAGTTTTTTTTTCAAAATCTTCACATTTTATCAATAATAGAATGATTGTTAAAAACACAAAACAAATTGAATCATATTCAATAGAAAGAAACTTACTGACTGACATTGCATTTCTCCAAATAATCTAGAAACTATAAATCAAAAAATATGTATATTCAGTAGAGGTTTTTTAGAGATTTCAGTATTTTCATAGTTGAAATCATGAGTCAATTGAAGCTAGACTACCATGGAAAACCTGGAAGCCGTTTCGTCCTGTTATGGGACTCCTCAGCAGTGCGCATCCACAATCTAGCACTCGTGGGATTCGAATCCAGAACCTATCAGTCTCGTTTCAGAGCACTTAGACATGAACACCGTTGAGTGCCAGCCGGCTGAACGGTCTATCGGTTAAGTGCTCTGGCACGAGACTGGTAGGTCCTGGGTTTGAATATCGCGAGGCAGGGTCGTGGATGCGCACCGCTGAGGAGTCTCACAATACGACGAAACAGCCGTTCAGTGGTTCCAGGTTTTCAATGGTGGTCTAGCTTCAATTGACTCATGATTTCAATTATGAAAACAATATATATACATACATATATATATCGTATTATCATAAATTTCAAAAGGTAGAAATCAAATTGAGGTATTATTTAAGCTGTTTCCTCGTCAGGTTATTGGGTGAACTACCACTGAAACAGTAAACAATTGTCAAGAACCATCAAAATGACGTAACTGTTGAATAGAGCTGATCTATTCACTTACTAATAAATATTTCTCACGGACAAACAATACGATATGATTTGGAATCTTGACTAGCATAAAGTTTTTTTTTAAATCATTCACCTACAAGTTAGGCATTCTAACGTGAGACCGAAGAACATGAGTTCAAGTCCCATGTGTGGGATCGTGGATGCGCACTGCTGAGTCCTATACTAGGGCGAAATGGTCGTCCAATGCTTCCAAGTTTTTAAAGATGGTCTAGTTTAGATCGACCGGTGAATTCAACCGTGAAGATAAACACTAATCATGTAAGATCAAATGATTTGGTCATCTACACTTTTAATAAAAATCTCTGTCACCATGTTAATTATCAGTGACTTTTGTGTATGAAGATAACTTGCTTAAAGGAAGATGTTTTACCATATTTTTGAACTTGAGCTTAATTTAAATCTCTCAACGAATCTTTATTCCTCTGAGTTAATCGTAAACAAACCTCGTCAGCCAGTCTAATTATTTATAGTCTTCTAAGAATTCCGTATAGTCAAAAGGTGGCACACATTTTATCTTAGCGTCCCATTACTTTTATTCATGTATTTACCCATAACCATTTGTTTCAAAGCAAATCTACATATCTTGCCGTTTTCTCTACAAATCAATTAGATATATCTGGTATATATCTGCCCCAACCGTAGCTGCTACCTCAATATGATAGTTAGGCTGTTTTGTCGTATTAATCCTGTCGATATATGTTGGCTGGAATAATTGTCCCCTTTAGTTCTCTCATGCCCAGCAGGTCAAGTTTGGAAATGGTAAAATTAAAAACAATAAACTTATAGCCAGAGAAGGAAGACGTACTAATGACTGTATTGAGGTTTAAAGGCAGTAATGTGTTTCTCTCAGACAATCAGCATGTGTAGAGTTGATGCCTTCTAACAACGAAAAGAACGGGTTAGAAAAGGTCTGCCTAAAACATGTCATACTTCGCCTTACCACACAGATTTCGATCTTCAGTGGCAAGGGCCTCTGAAACACAAAGCTAAGACATCGAAAAATTCTTACAGACAGACTTTGTGTGACCGGCCTTAAGCGGTTGTCTCTTGGCCTACGAAGTCACGCTCCCAGGTCACCACAATTACCGCTAGTCTGGTTTTCTTCTCAGGTCCCTCAAGAAGATATATGCTTCCATGATGTGGTCAACAGGAAAGAGACACGCATCTTCCTACTTCCAACAGAACTCGAAATTCTCTTGTTCACTGACAGAAATAATTTACTGTAGATTCTGTTTTATATTGAAATGGTTTCTGTACTTTGAATAACTTCTAGACCAAGGTAAATAAAGTAGGTAGGTGAACAGTCATAACAAATTAGATATACGTAGGTCTGAACATGATTGTTTCTGCCATTTAGTCATTATTAAGGAATGATTTCATGCTGAGTTGGTAAAATTTAACAGTTAACCTCATAGATAAGGTAGTCAAAGACAACTTCTGTTTTGACACTGAGACCTTCAAAACTAGATCATCAATATGGTATTTAATGTGACAGCAATGAATCCTGGTATCAAGACGACTAATTAGTGATGTGTTGCGTAACAGGTTAACTTAACTATTACCAACTGATGAATCCATTCTTCTGTTGCATCAACTCACTAAGTACTTACCATTTTGAAATGAATTCTTATCAGAGTTTATTGTTTGATAAGATCCAACATTTTGTCTGATTGGTATATTTAAATCGATTTCTTCATATGAAGTCATTTTAATAGATCCATTATGCTCAGTAGATATTGGTTGACCATAACCCCATCTAGGCAAAGTAATATAAGAGTTCATATTAATCACTTTTACTTATATTTATCAGCTGAAATGACTTCAAACATGTTCCCGAATTAGTCAGGAACTAGCTCATGTCGAATGGAATTTACCATTACAGATATAAGCTTTAAGTATTCGGATAAAATCAGTATTATCCAATAGAACGAATAATTCAATCGTTAAACAGATGCACTGGAACTATATTGAATCAGATGTATCCTCTTAGGCTATGCCACAAAAACTGACACTTATTTACAATTGATTTATCACTGGGAAAAGACCAACCTTAAACATGTCAGGTCCTTATTAGTACAGATTGAATTCTGTAGACCGAATTGTAATGTGATCTCTAGTTTAGTTGACTTCATATCTGATACACTATGTTAAGATGAGGTAGTGGTTGGATGTAGATAACAGAAAACTCTGGACCATTTGGTACTAGTCAGTAGGATGTATCTGTAATTATGAGGGAAGTGTTGCTCCCTGACGAATTCAATTCCGTAAAACCCAGCTTCACAGTCATAGATGTTATCACTGACCAACTTACATCTTCATGTTCATGAACACATCCCAGACGAGCTAAACAAAAGTGTAATGTAGTTAAGACTGTAAAAATTTCAATATTAGCTTATTTAGTTGAAACACAACCATGAAGCCATTATAAATCAAGCATCAGAAGAAATGACTATTCAGATTACAAAGAAAGATGAAGATATCTGAACACAAGAAACCGGTTCAATCTCTTTGTTTACATTAGTTAACCACAATCCATAGACCTAATTTGACTAATGTACATCAATTTACCAAATATTTCCATGGTCCTTTTTAATAGAATTATAGGGAACAAAGAACTCGAGTGAGGGTAACCAACATGATTACAGGATATCTTGGTAACATTTAGAATTTTCAATACAAATGTGAAGACAGTTCTACTGTATGGGGCGGAGACGTGGAGGACTACGAAAGCCAATATCCAGAAGATACGAGTGTTTCTTAACAGTTTTCTACGCAAGATACTTCAGATCCGTTGGACAAACACTATCAGCAACAGGTTACTGTGGGAGACAACAAACCAGATTCTAGCGGAGGAAGAAATTAGGAAGAAGCGCTGGAAGTGGATTGTGCACACATTGAGGAAATCACCCAACTGTGTCACAAGACAACCCCTCACATGGAATCCTGAAGGCCAAAGGAGAAGAGGAAGACCAAAGTACACATTACACTGAGAAATAGAGACAGACATGAGAAGAATGAACAAAAGTTGGATAGAACTAGAAAGGAATGACCAGGACAGAGTGGGTTGGAGAATGCTGGTCGGCGGCCTATTCTCCATTGGTAGTAACAGGCGTAAGTAAGTAAGTAAGTAAGTAAGTAAGTAAGTAAGTAAGTAAGTAAGTAAGTAAGTAAGTAAGTAAGTAAATAAGTAAGTAAGTAAGCAGGTAAGTAAGTAAGTAAGTAAGCAAGTAAGTAAGTAAGTAAGTAAGTAAGTAGGTAAGTAAGTAAGTAAGTAAGCAAGTAAGTAAGTAAGTAAGTAAGAAAGTAAGCAAGTAAGTAAGTAAGTAAGTAAGTAAGTAAGTAAGTAAATAAGTAAGTAAGTAAGCAGGTAAGTAAGTAAGTAAGTAAGCAGGTAAGTAAGTAAGTAAGTAAGTAAGTAAGTTGGTAACATTTGAGAACCATACATTAAATGGTTCATTTTCTCCGCATCTGTCAATTGTCCTTCACATTCTATATGATCCTTCTAATTCACAATTTCTATCTGTTGACATTCACATTCTCTTCAATTTGACCTTTTCAACTTTCTGACTGATGTTACATACTACTTATGTCTGTCGATATAAGTAGCATACACCACAGATTTAGTTTTTAAGATAAGTAAACCATCTAATAAATACCCAATCCATGTAACTATTCCTTACCAAATTCATACATGACTTATTCTCCGACCAAACATTCGAGTACATTAGTAACCTATTATTATTCCTTCCTTTACCTTTCTATGTTACCTATATTCATTATGTTTATCAAGTCTAACTATTTCAATTAAAGTATAAACTTATTCAAATTAACATTATATCCGAATGATTACTACATGAATTAAGAACTATATATATATATATATATATATAAACGCAACAGCGTTTTATGGGAGAGGACAAACCAGCTTCCAGCTGAAGAAGAAATTAAGAAAAGACGTTGGAAGTGGATAGGACATACATTAAGGAAATCACCAATGTGCATCACGAAGCAATCCCTAACTTGGAATCCGGAAGGGAAGCGGAAAAAAGGAAGGTCAAAGAACACATTACGCCGGGAGATTGAAGCGGATATGAAAAGGATGAATAACAACTGGAACAAACCGGAAAGGATTGCCCATGACAGAGTTGGATGGTGAATGCTGGTGAGCGGCCTGTGCTCCTCGACGAGGGGTAACAAGCTTAAGTAAGTAAATGATACTGATTTAAATTAATACTGGTTGTTTATAAATAGGATAAAACTCTGTTACAACTATATAGGCTTTTTAATCAGAAAACTTAGATGAAGAATAGATGCAGTAAGCAGAATGGTAGGAGACTGTAATTAGAACAGTAAAATAGATTATAACGTCAGTGATATGTTGAAATGTCTAAAAAGGTTGGCATATGACGTTAAAGATATCAAAATTCATACTTTCCACATAAACTATTGAATATTAATGAGTAGTATAGTAAATACACAAAAAAGGGATAGCGAAGAAAATTAAGATGATTGGGATTGGTCTAATGGAAACCCTGGTGGCAACATTGAAATTTGGTCAATGGAATTCAACCAGCACCAAAGAAAGATTAGACACATGTGAGAATGGTTACTACTCAATGATGAATCATTTGTGGACTTAAAAATGTTTATCAACACACGAAAATTCTCACTATCATAGTCTTAGCTGTAATCAAATACCCTAGCATCATCAGTGTTTAATCTTATATTGACTGAATATATATATATAATCTAGTCTTCAGTTAGTTACATTATAAATGACTAATTGTTATATCTATGATGAAACCTATAACTACTCTATGCATACTGTACGTATTGCCTCGATATAGCCTTAATTCACAAGCATTATAAGCAAAGATGGATAGTAGCTAGTAGTGGAATCCAGGACGCACGTTTCGTCCTGTTTGGGTCTAGTCACCTGGATGTAACTGCATCTCAGACTGGGTGTTCACTTTGGGACTCGAATCAAGTACCGTTCGCTTCAAATGCCATTGCAATATCGAGGCAATACGCATAGTATGCACATATGTAATTAAGAGACTGACCAGTTGCAGTCCTAAACATCAATGGGAACATTCATTAAACAGTACCAAGTGAATTTAAACTTCACCCCATTGCACAAGCAAGTGGCTATCAGTACTCAGTAGCTGAGTAGATAACGCAGTGGGGTTTGAAGCAAATGGTATTGGGTTCGAGTCCCAGAGTGAACATCAACTCTGAGATGCAGGTACATCCAGCTTACGAGTGCTAAGTAGAACGAAACGCGCATCAAACTGGATTCCACTGCTTACCACTAACCATCTTCTCTTATAATATACAAATTTTTTATTGTACAATTAACAAAAATATTAATCAAATATATCTTAGTTACAGACAATAGGCGAGACTAAAGAGCATGGACGAGCCAATCAGAAGCTTTCGCGGGTTTTCAAGGTCACAGCGCTAAGTTCGGTACCTGACGCTTACGTACGGTCAGTTTACAAAGGATTTTAGAGAAAACATGATAATTAAGCGTCTACAAGATATGTTACCATAAGATTTTGGCTCAAAATTCAATTATATATTTGGATTGAGTTGTGGCATTATAGCTGATGTCAGTTCGTGATGAAAACCCTAAGTAAAATTCATAACCTTAACCATGAACTGTAAATCATAATTTGAATTCTTCACACGGGTTTATAACCCTCATTTAGTCTTAGTTATTACGTTGACACTCTCAGATTCACTCTAGCGTCGCTCAAATGTCGTCCATTATTTATAGTCTCATCTTTAACCCTAAACCTTAACCCTAATCCTAAACCGTAAACCATACCAACATACCGACAACACTGAAACTATGTGGTCGAGGCTGAAAGAATTTTCGGGACTTTATCATGGTTCCAGATGTCGACTACTATGGAGCCACATGGATGGGTTCCTGTACCGGATGCACTATGATTTTAAAACTTCTGAACCTATATCTGACCTTGATAAGTTTTTGATACATGTAAAAGAACAGTATCCCCTTTAATTTTTGAGTTTTGTATAATATATTTTTATTGTATGCTAACTGTCTTCTGATTGGCCAATATTTCTCAAGGTCATTTAAGATTCGTTCAAAGGTCGTCCATGTTCTTTAGTCTCGCCCAGATAATATACACCGAAAAGAATGTACATTATTTAGATGTCGATTGATTGGATAGCTAACTTCTAACTAGTGACCATTCAATACATGTCGTCAGGATCCATCAAGAAGTAAGAAAACGGAAACTTGTTGAAATATCTCGTGCTGAGAACTCTATATTATACCAAAACTATCATATTGAATAAGGTTAATAAGAACAATAATAAGAATAAGAATAGTAACTACCGTGATTGATGTTGTTCCATTCGTTCTAATTTATTCGATGAAATCTCTTCTTGATGATGTTTTGATTCATTTGTGTTATTATTACAAAAATTTATAAATTTTGGTTTATATGTTAAATATGAATGAGTAGTAGTAGTATTATCAGTTCCACTTGATATACCAGAATCATGAATAGTTTGTAAATCAATAAAATCTTTCGGATTCTTTTCCAATGATCTATTCAATGTTTTATGAAATAATGAAGGATCTTTGATATGGATGAAAAAAAAAGAAATAATAATAAAGATTATCAGAAGGGAGGTTTGTGGAGATCTTAGTACTTTTATATAGTTAAAATCATGAGTCAGTTGAAGCTAGACTATCATGGAAAACTTGGAAGCACTGTACAGCGGTTTCGTCCTTTCTGATCTATAATCATATGCTCATTAGTGACTGACTTCGAGGAATGTTTCCTTGAGTTCTAGTGGGAAGCAGTGACTAGTGGAGTTCAACCAAGTCTGTTGTTGAGATATCAACTCACTGAAGACAATTGGTGAACGGTTGCTCCAACTTCGTGGATTTGTTGAAGTTAGACATTAACACCGTTGGATGCCGGCAGGCTCAGTGGTCTATCGGTTGAGTGCTCTGGCCCGTGACTGGTAGGTCCTGGGTTTCAATCTCGATAGACGGGATCGTGGATGCTCACTGCTGAGAAGTCCCATAATAGGACGAAACGGCTGTCAAACAGCGCTTCCAGGTTTTCCATGGTGGTTTAGCTTCTACTGACTAATGATCTTCACCATATAAACTATAAATGAATTCGTTGAACAATTAGAATAAACAAAAAGTTCTGAAAGTACCTCAACGACATCGTTTCGTAGTTCAACAGTATAATCATTTCACATGGTGTTGTATACTTGTATCTTTTTGATGGAGTTTTGTTATCTGGGTTGGATGGTTTTAATCGTGGAGCTTTCATCCTTCTTCTGAACGACATCATCAACACCAATCAACATCGTGGTGTATAGAATAAGTTTTGAACCATATGTGGAGAAATTCAAACACTTCATTTCTACTCGAAGTTTGTTCTGATGATGTCGTTCAGAAGAATGATGAAGGCTCCACGACCAAACTATCCAGCTCAGAGAACAAAACTCCATCAAAATCATTTACCTGAGCTACAAATCTTCTCCATCATCTCATATATGTATCTTCCTATTGTTGTTTAGGACTGTAATTAATCAGTCTCTTATAGGCAGGAATTAGTAGTTAAGCGGATAACCCGATGGTGTTTGAAGCGGACGGTATTAGGTTCGAGTCCCAAATAAGATGAAATGCGCGTCCTGGATTCCACTACTAGCTACTATCCATCTCTATTTATTACCATCATTATTGGCATTTACCCTCTATATGAGTTATAAATGATAAAAATAATTTTGACAATTATACTTTCTCATAACTGTGTTTATTTATTGTAAGGAAAGCTCGTGGGTGAACTCAAGGAAGCTCTAGGAAGCTCCGGAAGAGCCAAAGACATTCCATTCAATTATCTTTTGGAAGAGCATTCCAGAATCTTAACGTGTGGCTTCTCGATTGGATAAATGTTAAGAACTACTGTATGCGGATTGGATGACTGTGATGATGATGATTTCCTTTTTAACGAAAACTATAAATACCTTAGAGTTTTGTACCGTATTTGACACTGTTTGGAATAACATTCCTTCTCACTTGTCTTCTGTCTTCTCATTTGAGAATTGGAGGATTCTAGTGTTCGAGTGTTCAAGTAGTACGCGGTATAGCAAGTGCTTAGTCTTTAGAAATGACATTATAGTGAATTTACGAATGATTCATAATCAAGTATGTTATTCATTGCTCAGCAAGGTTTCAATGATCACTCATATACTGATCGGAGTTGTAAACAGTTTGCATATGAATTAGAAAGATTCAATAAGTCACTTTTTCCATATGAAGTACAAGAAATGACTACTTGAAAGAAAACATTTTAATGATTATTACATCACAGAATTTTATTATATATGATTTATACTTCGTAATGGTTAACAGTAGTATCTGTGAAGTTTTCATAATAGATCAGAAGGGGTTTTGTGGAAATTTAGGTATTTTCATACTTAAAATCATGAGTTAATTGAGGCTAGACCATCGTGGATACCTGGAAGCACTGGACGTCCTTTTCGTCCTGTTGTGGGACTCCTCAGCAGTGCGCATCCACGATCCTGCCTTGCGAGATTCAAACTCAGGACCTGCTAGTCTGAATTGAAGAGATATTTCGTGGAGTTCTAGTGGGAAGCAGTGACCAGTGGAGTTGAAACCACGTCTGTTGTTGAGATATCACCTCACTGAAGACAATTGGTGAACGGTTGCTCAAACTTCGTGGATTGGTTAAAGTTAGACATTAATACCGTTGGATGCTGGCCAGCTCAGTAGTTATCGGTTAAGTGCTCTGGCGCTAGACCGGTAGGTCCTGGGTTCTAATCTCAAACACCATGTCGGTTGCTTTCAATATTTACACGTTTACTAGTCAACAGAATACAGTCTTAGGTGATCAAATCTTTTTAAACAAGATTTTAGTTAGAATAGTAGAGTTTGTGGGAACTGTTGAATTTTCATAGTTTAAATCGTGAACTTATCTAATTTAGATCATCATTAAAAACCTAAAAGCCCTGAATGAACTTCTGGCTCAAGTATGAAACTCATCAACAGCACACATTCACGTCCTTGAACGCGGGTGCCAAACTTGTGACCTTTGGTCTCTTACTTAAAAGCTTAACCCCCCTACTTCACCGAGATGGCGTCTAACTTCAATCAATACATGATATTTTGCAACTCACATCCATGGTGTACGGTGGATAACTGTATCTGTATTATTTGTTACAGTAGGATTTTATATTATACCACTAAACATTTGGTATCTATACCAAAAGTGTATCTGTGGGCGAAAGTGAATCATTTCACTGAAATGTCACTACCAACCTATCGATGACAACAGAGCACTTATCTAAAGGTCTTAAGTTTATTGATTTGATTCTAATTGTTGAATTGTATACTGAATTCATTGAAAATCATCAATTAAGTTAGTGGAAACTTTTGTTATACTATTATGTTCATTGACTTACTTAACCATGAATCTGTAAGTAGTTGAGCAGCTGTCATTAATGTTGCCCTTGTTTCAGCATCTGTAACACCCATTTCAATTAATTCATTTCTAGTTAATTTACTTAATCGATCAACATCTACAACTCCATGTTTTAGTAGACAAGGCCAAACAGACTATGATAATAAATTAAAAATGAAGAAATAATTAATCATTAATGTACAATGTTTAAAATTGATAATTTTTAAACAACATGAACTTTATGCTCCCAAATGCCCTGGTACGGCTGAGAGTGGGGAGAGTCCGATCTCCCTCTCGAAATTCTCTGACACGGCCACCCCTATATAGTCTCTGACAAGGAAGTCCTACTCACTGCCTTCTCGTGACTTAACTGTTGTTTAACAAATTGAGAGGAAGAAAAGCGAATGTCTGGCGCTTTAACTGGGTTGGTGGACACGGAAAGTTCACCTAGGGGAGTTAGAAAACCCTCATTGCAAACCAATGGTGCACATGGGATCCAGTATCCTGAAAAAACAAATGGCATATGAATCAATCGTTGGTCACCGACTACCATAGGACTGCATCTCCTCACGATGCTCCATCGCCTTGTGGATCTGACCTTCAAGTCAAAGGCTCCGAGTGTGGCTTCCTAAGAAAACCATCTGCTTGAGTTTGGGCACCTGAGCAGTATCACAGTCCCCACACAAATGGAATGAGATTCCTGCGGCGCATATATATCTGATGCTTCCTTGTACCAATATTAATGTGTTTAAATAAAATTAAATAAATGTGAAATTTATTAGTCGACAAAAAAATCTTGACAGATATCAGCTTCATATACGGGAACAATGATCGAAAAGGAACGATTAAAAGCTCTTCAGCTTTCATGAATTGATCTTAACGACTGACATAGTAAGAGATATTATTACACATTTGATAAAGTCTCAGCTGTTGGATTAAACTGACAAAACAGACATCTTAGTGCCAGTATTTTCTTTAGTCCTTATCGATGAATAATTTCATTAATCGATCTTACTACATGACGTAAACGATCACTGTAATGGGATTGTCCTAAATTAACTCGATTTCCACCCCACCCCCAACCCCCCAATGTATACTTAAGTCAATAAATTTTTGACATTTTGTATCATAAATTTTATTTACAATACAGATTTTTCAGTTAGTTACAACATTTTCTTATCTTGTTACGTAATCCATATTCATATCTAGATTTAATGGAATTTGTGACTGATTTTTTTTGTTTTTGCCTTTTTTAGATTGCCGCTTTCATTGCTTTCATACCACCACCACCACCACTACTACTACTACTACTACTACTACTACTACTACTACTACTACCACTAATAATAATAATGATAATAATAATTGTAGCCATAGCAACAATAAAACTTTGGCCAACTTTGCTTTCATGTTATATGAATCAATATTTTTGTTAATATTATAAATAAATCAAAGCAATTAGTGTCATATAAACCATGATAAATCTACAAACAGAACAATACAAGTAACCTTATATAATGAGATATCTCTTTTAGATTTCTACTAGATAGTTCAGTTAGATTCTTTGTATAAAAGAGATATAAATTAAACAAATGGATTATTTCTTTAATAGTTGAGATCATGAGTCAATTGATAGAAAACCTGGAAGCACTGGACGGCTGCTTCGTTCTATTGTGGGACTACTCAGCAATGCTCTTCCACAATCCCGCCTTGAAAGATTCAAATCCAGGATCTATCAGTTTCACGCGCAAGCGATTAACCTGCAAACCACTGAGGTAGCCGGCATCCAATGATGTTAATGTTTAACGTCAACCGATCCACGAAATTGAGAGACACATCCACCATTATATTCAATGACTTACTATTTTCCAGCAGACCTGGTTGGACTCCCACGTTCACTACTGCTTCTCACTAGAACTCCAGGAAATACCTCGTGAAGCCAGTCACTAGTGAGTATATGTTGATTAATATCATAAGGGGTTTTCGTGAATATTATAGTAGTTTTTAATAGTTGAGATCATGAGTCAATTGAAGCTAGACTACCATGGAAAACCTGGAAGCATTTGAATGCCGTTTCGTTCTATTGTGGGACCCCCCAGCAGTGCACACACATGACCTTGCCTCACGAGATTCGAACCCAGGACCTATCGGTCACGCATTCAGGCACTTAACCTCTAGACTACTGAGCTGACCGGCATCCAACGGTGTCAATGTCTAATTTCCAGGTTTTCCATGGTGATCTAGTTTCAACTAATCCATGATCTCAACTATTAAAATTACTACAATATCCACAAAAACCCCTCCTGATACTAATTAAATTTGTTAGATACTCACATGGCTATTAACAGACATAGGTTATCTTCCAAGGTCTTTCCTCGAAAAAAGACGTGAATAGACTTCTGTTCCCACAAAGAAATCAATGACAAGAAATTTTTGAATATTTTATGGAAACAAATGTGTGTTTCTTGTGCCCAGTGTTCTAGCTAACGATGATGAAGCATGACCTACCTACTATCTATTTGTCTTAGTATATGAAACTAACAATTTCCATGATACTATTTTTGAATGTCATTCAATAGCGATGTGAACAATCACTATAGTCATCACCTGTTTGTAATTCATCTTGCAATGGCCCCCAAATGCCCTGGTAAGGCCGAGAGTGGGGAGAGTTTGCCTTCCCTCTCGAAATGCTCTCATATGGCCACGCGAATATATAGCCTCTGTCAGGGAAGTCCTACTCACTGACTTCTCGTAGCGGAGGTGTTGTTCACAAAAGTGAGAGGACGAAAAGTGAATGTCCGGCGCTTTAACCGGGTTGGTGGATGTGGAGGATCCACATAGGGGAGTTGGAAAACCCTCATTCCAAACCAATGGTGCACATGGGCTCCAGTATCCTGAAAGAACAAATGGCGTATGAACCAACTGTTGGTCACCGGCCACCATGGGAATGAATCTCCTCACGATGCTCCATTGCCTTGTGGACTAGACCTTTAGGTCAAAGGCTCCGAGTGTGGCCTCCTGAGAAAACCACCTGTTTCAGTCTGGGCACCTGGTCAGTATCACAGCCCACACACAAATTGAATGAGATTTGTGAGGCGCATATATATCTGGTGCTTCCTTCCACCAATATTTATGTGTTTAAATAAATAAATAAATAGAAATAACATCTTGCAATGGAAAGGTATTAAGCTATTTTGTGTGTGTTGAAGTGTTACTGAATTATTTTAACCCTAATAATGTATAATTAAGTAACAATAGTTTATGTAGATAATGCACTCAGATCTTTCATGAATACCTAAGTAGACAGTCCAAGTTACAGTTTAATTGTTTAAAACCCTGACAGTCTGTTCAGTTCTGAATGTTCTCCAAAGAGAGGAAGCATCAGTTATATATGCGCCGCAAGAATCTCATTCCATTTGTGTGAGGACTGTGATACTGCTCAGGTGCCCAAACTCAAGCAGATGGTTTTCTTAGGAAGCCACACTCGGAGCCTTTGACCTGAAGGTCAGATCCACAAGGCAGTGGAGCATCGTGAGGAGATGCAGTCCTATGGTAGTCGGTGACCAACGATTGATCCATACGCCATTTGTTTTTTCAGGATACTGGATCCCATGTGCACCATTGGTTTGTAATGAGGGTTTTCAACTCCTCTGGGTGACTTTCCGTGTCCACCAACCCAGTTAAAGCGCCAGACATTCGCTTTTCTTCCTCTCAATTTGTTAAACAACAGTTAAGTCACGAGAAGGCAGTGAGTAGGACTTCCTTGTCAGAGACTATATAGGGGTGGCCGTGTCAGAGAATTTCGAGAGGGAGATCGGACTCTCCCCACTCTCAGCCGTACCAGGGCATTTGGGGGCTCTCCAAATTGAGGATGGCCGTTTTGTTCTATTGTGGGACTCCTCAGCAGTGCGCATTCACGATTCCACCTTCAATTGATTCATCATTTCAATTATATAAAATTACTAAAATCTCCACAAACCTCCTTCTCATAATGATCATATTCTCAATAGTGACTGGCTCCATGAGTTATTTCCTGGAGTTCTAGTGAGAAGCAGTAGTGACCAGCGGAGTTCAATCAGGTCTGTTGGGAGATATCAACTCACTGAAGACAATATTTGCTCAATTTCGTGGGTTATTTGAATTAAGACATTAACACAGTTGGATGCCGGCCACCTCAGTAGTCTACATGTTAATCGCTGGCTTGCGAGACTGATAGGTCCTCGACTCGAATCTAAAGAGACGGAATCGTAGGTGTGCATTGCTGAGGATTCCCACAACGAGAAGGAACGGCTATTCGGTGCTTCCAGATTTTCCATGATAGTCTAGCTTCAATTGACTCACGCTTTCAATTATGAAAATACTAAATCTCCACAAAAACCCTTTCCTTTTAATCTATTCGCTTTATACTTAAACATGTAACTTTATGGCTTAATCTCATATTAGTCATATGACTGACTTATAAAAATATTATTGTTTCTAGTAAATTACCTGTATCCCAAGACGTTGCATCAAAGATAGTAATGTGGATTCAGAGTATTTCACTTTATTAGTAGTTAAACAAGATGTTCCTAAACTTTTATATTCATCATTTTTGGATTCCGTATACAGTGAATTTGAATGTCCTGTAACGCTGAATGGTTTTGAATTGATTTGTTCTATGCCCTGATCTATTGTTGTTGATGCATTCGGAATAAGTGGTAATGTTTCATATGTATCAATTGTAGGACTACTTGGTGCTGATTGACTAACATCTGATTGATATGGTGAATTAATAAGTCCATTATGTGTACGACTAAAGAATGGACCACAACGTAGAGTCATTCCTTGACGTTTACGCCAATTTGTTTGTGACATCATTTTTCGATAACATTTTCTTGAATCTTTTGTATATTGAAATTTTATTGAAGACATAGGACCAGGTGTTTCATTCTCACTACTATTTGGAGATGTTGGAGCTGATGAAAGTACTTCTTTTCTTGCTAGAAAAATATTTAAAAACCAATAAACATATTGAATTTAGATCAGAAGAGGTTTTGTGAAGATTTTAGTATTTTCATAGTTGAAATCATGGGTTCGAATTTCGCGAGTGCGTGATCGTGGATGAGCAATGCTGATGAGTCCCATAATAGGACGAAACGGCCGTCCAATGCTTCCAGGTTTTCAATGGTGGTCTAACTTCAATTGATTCATGATCTCAACTATGAAAATATTGAATTTAGGTTAGTAGCTTAGTATTTCTTTCTTTGAATGTTATGTACTTTTAATAAAGAAACTTCATCAATGAATTTTTAAAAAAAAGGTATCTTACTCTTTATTATAAGAACGATAAGAAAACAAGATCGATTGCGAAGGGACTGGAACATTTATACATGAGTTATTCAGAAAGGAAACAAAAAAGCTGTTATATCCCATAGAGAATGATGAATGGTAACATTTGAGAATCATTTATAGACCAATATGATATGTATATTTCCTATTGTATTATTGTTAAGTAACTTAACTATTCATATTCGTGTCCCTCTTATTATAAGCTTTATTTTGACCCATAGACTATTACTACACGATTAACCATTCCTGAGTTATCCTCAGTCTATTAATTAACTGTTCCTCCTATTCACAGCCACATTTGGCTGAATCTTATTACAAAAGTTAATTTCTATTTTATGGTACGATGTGGTCAGTCTTTTTGGTATATAAACTCAGTATGTTTGAAATACAAGGATTCGTACCGCAGAGACTATTAATGGTGTTCTGGACTTAACTGACTGGGCTAGGCAGAAAGCAGGACTGATAAGTACTCAAGACTGCTCATACGGTTTTCTGTGTCCTTGGTTCGATCGATGAATCACTGCTCTCTAATTGGCGGTATCATCACATTGTACATTAACAGGGGATCCAGACGGCCACACAAGTTATAACAAAAACACCGATTCATCAGAACTGTCTTTAAAATACCAATAAGGCATACTGAAATATATCTTTGAAGAAAAAGAAACTTGTACTCCGTTTAAACGCATTATTCAAGTCGAAAATCCTTCAGTCAGGAAAATCGAGTTATTTTCCAAGTAAACTTAGAACACCACTTGTGATTCCTCGTTTTTGAAAACTTTACGTACTTCATAGTTGTTTCGTTCGCTACCTGACATGATCTGAACAAATATCTATGATGTAACAAATATGATATATGAAAAATAAGTAATCATAAAATGATGTTGTATTCTAAGCAAGGACGGATAGTGGAATGCAGGACGCGCGTTCCGCTTTATTTAGAACTCGTCATCTGGATATATCTGCATCCCAGAGTTGATGTTCAATCCGGTGTCGTTCACTTCTAACCCATCGTGTTATAAACTAGAAAGCAGCTTGTTTGTTCAATAGGGTATAGTCTAAATTCACTTGGTATTGTTTACTTGAATCTTCTCATTGTTATTTAGGACTGCAATTGATCAGTCTCTTAATGACATTTGTGTATGCTATGCATATTGTCTCAATATTGCCCTAATTCACAAGAACTATGAACAAAGATGGATAGTGGTTCAAGTCCCAGAGTGAAAATCAACTCTGAGATGTAGGTACATCCAGCTGACGAGTCCCAAATAGGACGAAACGCGCCTTGTCCTGGATTCCACTGCTAGCCACTTTACATCATTGAGGTAAGATGGTGGTTGGAGGTGGTCAACAGGAAACCCTGACCCGGGTTTCGTGCTACTTACAGGTACACCTTGCTGACGAGTGCCAAGTAGCACGAAACCCGGATCAGGGTTTCCTGTTGACCACCTCCAACCACCATCTTACCTCAATATACATAGTGCAAGCAGTGTCGAGCCACCTAGACTGGTGGTCACATTGCAACTCAATCGATAGCATTCGATCAGCACTAAGAAGGACCTGACACGCATGAGATTGATCACCACCCAGTGATCAATCAATTGTGACTATTCATCTTTGTTTAATACGGTAACCAGTTTTAATAATAACAGTCATTGGGATTTTGAAGACATTGGTTTAACAGTGAAACAGTTCAGCTCACCACAAACAGTATTAGTACAATATCAAGAAATTATGTATTCAGGGAATAAATCAATGAAGATCTAACCAAAAGAAGTTATCATGAAAGTTCTAAGAGATAGAATAGTAGAAGTTTCATAATTCACATCGAAAGAAATCATAGAAACATCTATTCTTATGTTTCTAATTTTTGTATTTTACTACACTTAAGTTATATAATGTCATCAGAAGGGGGTTTTGCGGAGATCTTAGTAATTTTATATAGTTGAAATCATGAGTCAATTGAAGCTAGACCACCATGGAAAATCTGGGAGCACTGGACGGCCGTTTCGTTCTATTGTGGGACTCCTCAGCAGTGCTCATCCATGATCTCGCCTTTCGATATTCGAATCCAGGACACATCAGCCTCAAAAGTATACAATCATTACTCTACACAGCATTATATATCAGAGTGATCTAAAGAATCAACAGTTTAAAATGTAAATCTTCATTAAGTCCCCTTCATTCTGATCGATTATCATTGAATAATTTGACTTACACGTAGGAACTATTTCTTTTCTCCTTTTTTGTTTTGTTTTACGTAAATCAGTCAGACAGTCAGTCACAACGTAGAACTTCGTACGTGCGTAAGTACATCAGTTCAAGTTGCCATACCACATTAGCACAAAGATACAGTTGTCGATTCAAATCCCATAGTGGTAGAAGTAGTAATAGTATAAGCATTATGTGAAAGATTAGGGTTTGATGATGTTATTGAAGGAGTATAATCCAGTGAAATAAATTTGCAAAGAGAAAAAGACAGAGACATGAAGAATTCAGAAGATTAGAATTTGATAGAACACAAAGATTGGATGCAACTTCGCCATTACAAACGATTTTGAGCCATGTCATTCAAGGTTTCTAACCATCGATTGCTATCATGTCGCGAATCCCATCCAGATAGTCTACACCTACCAACATGGCTCAGTCCAATTGTCATTGACTTCATGGATTTGTGCCACATTTTGGTCTGACCGCCGCTAACTTTCTTCCAACCCACTCCTACACCATGGAACATTGCACATCGGAGCAGTCGGTGGTTGAGAATAATCGACACGTGTCCCAGCTATCTCAGCTGATGAAGATCCAGTACTTCATCAATCGATTTGCCATTCTTACCTAGTACCCATTTCTTAGTTTTACAAAGTATCTAGAATGGTATTCTTTTTTTTCTGAATGGCTAATCACTATTAGTAATAAGGAACAAGTAACTAAAATTCAATTTGACTAATCAATAATAAAAAAATTTGTAATCAGGCACATTCACATATGGTAACCATGTTATAATGAATCAATGTGAAGCAGTATTAAAAGTAAGAAAGAGCTAAAGAGAGAGAGAGAGAGAGAGTGTGTGTGTGAGGGAGAGAGGGAGGGAGGGAGTGGGAGAATGGAAAGTAAAAGTGTAACATACATGAGATAGAATGCAATCATTTTCTATATTGTACAACATATTTGTTAGTCAATATAACATTACAATGATTACAATTATACTGTTAATACAAATAGACATAATGAATATACAAGTAGCAAACATTAACCTCTTCTTCTTTTTTATTTTATTAATAATAGTAATGATGACTATGATCCCCTAGTGTGCATATATATGTGTGTGTGTGTATGTTCATGTGTGTGTGTGTGTGTGATTGAATGGAATCCATACAAAATCATATCCCTATACACCTAGATACTAATAAAGGAATGAAAATATTGACTAATACTAAGTTATAATAATAATCATAATCACCATACTAACTGACTTGTTGATGTATGTTGATACCTGATTTAATTTATATAGATAGACAGATTACATTAAAACAAAACAAAAAAACAACTAAGAAATAGGTCAATTACTAGGTGTTTCGTATTTATATTTAGTTAACCTTCTTCAATAATTCACTTATTTATTTGATAGAATGTATGATTGTATAAGAGCTTAATGAAATGTGAATGTTTACATGTGTAATGTGAATGTGAATGTGTATTTTTTTTTCATAAATTGATGGTGGTGGTGGTGGGGGGGGTGAGGTGTGGAGGTTGGGAAAAGGGTAATAATAGAATGATGTGATGATTCAGTGTTCATGAATGTATCTAACGGAAAAGTCGGTAATCAAAATCTATGGCAGTAATAATAATAAATGTTGAAAACAAAATAAAATACAATAATTGACATTAAATTATTGAATGTTTACAATTCAAGGTATGTCAGTGAAATGTCACTGAGCCCTACCCAGATCATCTTGTAGTTGGCTCACTGAAAAATATCGAACAAATCATCGATCCTTGTCAAAGTCAATGACAGTCAATGCGCATTAGCTAATTGTATGCCATAGGCTTGCCCATATGATGATGATCTTGCTATCTTCTCTGTATTTATTCTTATTAATATATTTCCATGATAACGTCCTTTGTGTTATACAGTCTTTAAAGCAGTTGATCGCGAGGTGTGACTTTGAAGTTAGCTGGTTCGTCACATCATTCTTGCCTAAGTCGAGTAAGCCCTCAATCATTCAGCATAGATCACCTAGTTAGTGATCTACAAACTAATTTGGAACGCGTTAGATGAACAGTCTAGTGAACTTACAGAATATAATCAATGTTTATGTTGCATTGAACAATTAATGGATGGATGATAGAAGAATATTAGTCAGTTTAACATTGAACCAAAATTCCAAATCCTATCAGATTCTATATAGATATATATGGGTGGGACTATAACTGATGAACGATATTTGGGCGAAGCAACATTGACCTTGACAATGTTCACTTACTTGCTGGGGTATAAATTAGTGTTATGTAGTAGCGAAGACATAAGTACGGGTAACTTGCAGGACCTACTATTGGACTATCATTCTTATTGTATAACTATTCGGTAACTAGGTTATCTATATCTATATTCATTTTATTGTAAGCTTCATTTCGACCTATTGATTATTATTGTATGATTTACTGTTCCTAATTTATACTCAGTTTATTGATGACTATCTCCCACATTCACAATCACATTTGGCTTGATCTTGTACAAATGTTGTTTACTATTTTATGGTATGATGTGGCCTGTCTGTCTGGTATATAGATAAATTATGTTTGAAATAAACGATTCGCTTTACAGCAGCTGCTATTGGTGTTTTGGACTCAAGTGGACGGGTTAGGCGGATAAGGACCAATAAGGACGCTAGATTACTCATACTAATCGAACGTCATTGTCACAGTGTGGAGGTCGTAGAAGTCGTATTCTATTGGTGGACAATTTATGCGAATTACGTCCTTGTTAAATTCGTAAGGTCATAACGAATCAGCGACGACCTTGATCAAGTCATAACAATTGGCTACCGCCTAGGTCAAAAACATAACAAATTGGCGACGGCTAGGTCAAGTCATAACAATTAGTAAGAGGAATTATGCTTAGAATTTAAAGCTGGACGTTGGGGGGAGAGGTTTATCAGGATCTGACGTCAGCCATAGTGCTAAAATGCTATTTAGCCAAATTGATAGATGAATTTCCTAAAATTTGAGACCTGTTATCTTAAATATGATCTTTTTCCTCCGTGAATTATGGTCTCGCCGATATATGTAAATTAGACAAAAAACAACAACCTTAACACCATAAATCTATTCATATTATATAGACGTCATATGGGTACACCTCGGTATCATTTGTAGTCATATACTAATAAAATTTATTTTTAGCCAGAAAAGGAATCCACTGTAACTATCTGGCATTGAAAGACAATGGACATATGATTGTAGTAATTTTAAGAGTTCAATCCATGAGTCGATCTAACCTCGATCACTACTGAAAACCTGACAGCACTGGACAGCCATTTTGTCATTGTATAGGACTCTTCAACAGTACGCATTCACGATCTCACACATGGGGCTCGGATCCAGGACCTTTGGTCTCACTCGTGAACTCTTAACCTCTAAACTACTGAGCCGTCATGCAATGGTTTTAACGTCCGAGATGGAAGTCTCTGGAATCATGGACGTACACTGCTGAGGAGTCCCTTACTAGGACAAAGCAATCGTCCAATACTTCCGGATTTTCTATAGTGATCTATCTTAGATCGAATCATGAATTCAACTTTTTCATTTGTCATAAATTGTTTTCAGAAGATTCAGCTCATTATTGTAATGACACTGAATATTTACAAAAGTGATTAATGCTTCTGAATCATTGAATTGACACTAGTAACTTCAAAATAATCAAATATTTATCATGTAGTAGACTGTAAAGTGGTATTGTGGTGAACAAGGAGACGAGTAGGGACAATCGAATGTAGTTGGGACGTAAATTACAGACTCACTAAAATCTGACAGCCATACAGTAAACATTATAAGGAAAGATGAACAGTAGTCAGCAGTGAAATCCAGGACACACGTTTCGTCCTATTTGGTACTCGTCCATCTTTGCTTATAATGCTTGTGAATTAAGTCTATATCGAGGCAGCACGCACAGTATGTATATATGCTAATAAGAAACTGATTCAAATAAACAATACCAAGTGAATTCATACAGTAAACAGTTAATTTGCAAACTATTAATCAATTGTCTCAATCTTGACTGTTCCTTCTGTAAATATCAGTTCATCGTCTCTGTTACGTCTACCCGTTTGTGAACGTTATGTTTGCTTCCCGAAGCTAGTTTCGGATCCCCGAGCTAGAACTATACAGCAACTTGAAGACCACAGAGAAGAAACGAGTATTAGAGAAACACTTTACTACAAGGTTCCTTTATGTACAGAAAAACAGGGGTTTTATAGTAATTAAAGGACCTTGAGATTCTATAGTAGCAGTATGTTAAACAGCCAATCAGGACCTTGTTATTTTAGTAGCATAGCTTCTAACTAATCGCTGATTGGTTGGGCTCTTTATGAGCCTCCGGAGGCTCTGATAGAGTTTACTGTAAGCCGACTTAACAGTCTCTGATTCTTATTGTTCATGTATTTTTATACCAAGTGCGTCCTGTTCACATTATCTCCTGATCGATCTTCTACTGAAATACATTCAATGCTCGGCCATCGTTATATACTACTTATGTGAATATAAGTAACCCACATGACAGTATGACTTAAGAAGTGATAATTATATAATGAAACCATTCAATGAAAGAAACTTCATACTGGAGAAAAATATAATTGAATTTTGATTAATTATATGAAGAAGTAATTAGTTATTCATGCTTAATCTTCTTCTTCTCTTAGTTTAACTAAAGCTAAAATATGATTTACTCACAGAGAGGCTGACTTTTAATGTCGAAGTTGTATCACTGTATAACATAGTTACACAATGCACACTGCTGAGGAGTCCCAAAAAAGGACGAAACGGTCATCCAGTGCTTCTAGGTTTTCCCTGATGGTCTAGCTTCAATTGACTCATGCTTTCAACTATGAAAATAGTTACACAATATGAAGTTCGCTATGAAGTATCGTGTTTTCATATATAGAAAGTATTCATTATATTAACTGCTTCACTACTATCATTCAACTGGCCTCCCCCTCCCCCCCACCGCCAAAATACAATTTGACGCATAGAAAACATGAAAAATAAAACTTACAATTAAGAAATAAGACCAATGGTTTTGTTAATTCATGATTAATTTCACAAGGATTATGTAAATTGCTTGTATCAACCATTTGTAACTCTGTTTGATTCATTGTATTCATTATTGATCCATTTGTTCAACAATATGTTGAATAGTCTTCTTTAAAAGAAATTGAATTTAAATCATCTAGTAAAGAAGAAAAGAAACCATGTTGAAATTAATGATACTGACTGAATTTATAAACCTGGAATCACTAGACGGATGTTTCGCCCTATTGTGGGACTCCTCAGCAGTGTGCATCCATGACCTCACCCCGTGAAATTCAAACCCATGACCTACCAGTTTCAACAGTGCCTACAGGTTTTCTCTAGTGGTCTAGCTTCAAATGACTCACGCTTGCAACTATGAAAATACTAAATCTCCACAAAATCCCTTCTGATAATAATAATGAATTTTGTTAAACTTATTCTATCATGTCGAGTATACTTCATTTATGTTTCAAGACTTAATATTCCATGAAATACGAAGATGTGATTCATGGTCCAGAAAATTTGTTTACAAAAGTAAGAGTAAACAAAGATGGATGGTAACTAGCAGTGCAATCGAGGATGCGCGTTTCACCATATTTATGACTCGTTTGCTGGATCTACCTGCATCTCAGTGTTGTTGTTTACTCCAGGACTATAATCGAGTATCGTTTGCTTGTGAATTAGCTAGACCATCATGGAAAACCTGGAGGCACTGATGAAGAGTCCCATAATAGGACGAAACGGCCATCCAGTGTTTCCAGGTTTTCCATGGTGTTCTAGCTTCAATTGACTCATGATCTGAACTATCAAAATTATATTAAAACGATTGAATAAGAATATTTCCTTCAATATTAAAACCGTTTTCCTTTCTAAATCTGATATTTGTAGAATCCAAAAAGAACAAAGACATATAATACGGTCTGATTATATCATAAACATAAATGATAAATAAGGGTAATTGTCGACGGTACTAGTTACACAACTATATTGCTATTACATAAGTTCATTAATATGTGGTGTTGTCTACTTATATCTATATAAGTAGTATATGGTGTGGGTCAGACATAGAATGTATTTTGGCAGAAGACCGATGAGGAAAGAACTGAAATGAAGCGCAATCGGTAGGAAAATGCATGAGCAATGGAATAAGAGAAGAAACAGTGAAGATTGAAACAATTGGTTGTTAATTTGCAAATTGAATGTTCATTGTTCGGTTATGAGAATTTACTGAGTTAGTCTGTAATCTTTGCTTAAATACATTTGATTGTCCCCAACCAGTGTTTTGTTCACTACAAATAATGCTAACTGGTATTCGATTTTCCCTATGACTGTTAGTAGGCAGTTACAAGAACACTGAACGTAACTATTTTCAACGGAAGGATGCAAAAAATTGGAAAATGAATGATTCATATATAAACAACAATATTTAGAACTAAATACAATGTAAGGAGGCTGATAATATTCTTAGTTTATTTATGACTTAAGAAGTGGAATGAGATAAGAAACTGCAACTAATTAGTCAGAAATCGGATGAACCAGAATAAAAACAACTAGCAAAGATCCCCGATTTTGATGAAGTTTTGTTCTCTGAGCTGGATGATTTGGTCATGGAGCTTTCATCGTTCTTCTGAACGACATTATCAACAACAATCAACATCGAGGTGTACAAAACAAGCTGTGAATCACATGTAGAGAAATTCGAACACTTCATTTCCACCCGAAGTTTATGCTGATGATGTCGTTCAAAAGAATGAGGAAAGCTCCACGACCAAACCATCCAGCTCAGAGAACAAAACTCCATCATAGTCATTGTTTTGACAAGAAGGATTGAATTTCTCAAGAACACGAATAAGATAGTCTATCTACTGAAATCATATCTAATGATCCCCTTCTTAAAGCAACTACTTCATCAGATAATTTCTAGCTGTAATGATTAGAGTAGTTACAATCTAATTCTCAGTGATATAGAATTTCCAGAGCCTGATTAATTTATGTAAACTTGTATAAAACAACCATATACAACCGTCAAATCTGATTTTTCCCACACACCGGTTAAATCACTTGGTCAGTACACAAATGTTCCAGCATTTTTCTCTCAAAGAATCTTCTATTCAACTAGCGAATGCAACACTTTAAAATCTATCGTGTAAGCTACTTATTTTTGTCAATATAAGTAGTATGCAACACTAATCAAAAGTTGAATGACTGACAGTAGAAGGCTAAGAAGATCAATTTAAAGAAATTAGAAATGGAAATATAAAGCAATTTTGAATTGGAAGAATCATAAACAATCTGAAGACCAAATGGTGGAAGATTTACAAATGATACATTTAATGTATGGTTAATCATATTTTACCAAAATATACAGCAATTTTACACAAAGATGAATAGTTGCTAGCAGTGCAATCCAGGATGCGCGTCACTTCGTCCTATTTGGGACTCGTCAGCTGGATGTACATGCATCTCAGAGTTGATGTTCACTTTGAGACTAGAACCCAGTACCTTTCGCTTCAAATGCCATGACGTTATCCACTCAGCTACTGAGTCCTGATAGCCACTTGTTTGTGCAATTGGGTGAAGGACGAAACGCCCGTCAAACTGGATTCCACTGCTAGCCACTATTCATCTTTGCTTACCATGATTGTTAATTTAGGCTATATCGAGGCAATACGCACAGTATGCATATATGCCAATTAGAGACTGACCAGTTTCAGTCCTAAAACATTAATGAGAAGATTCAAACAAGTAATACTAAGTGAATTCATACTGTAATTTTGTATTAAAATAATAAATTGGTTATCAACACCCGAATCTCGTTTACTACAATATTCCATATTAAAAGGTTAAATTTGTAGCTCACTTAAATGAAAACACGTTCACATATTTAACAGTTGAGTTCATGAGTTAATTAAAGCTAGAACACAATGAAAAATCTGGAAGCACTGGACGGACAATTCGTCCTAGTATAGAACTTCTCAGCACTGTGCCTCCACAACCCACCAAGGAAAACCTGGAAGCACTGGATGGCCATTTCGTACAATTGTAGGACTCCTCAGCAGTGCACACCCATGACCTCGCCTCGCGAGATTCGAACCCAAAACCAGAGGAGTTCAAACCACGTCTGTTGTGAGATAAGAACTCACTGAAGACAACTGGTGAACTGCTGCTCAATTTCGTGGATTGGTTGGTTAGATATTAACACTGGTGGATGCCAGCTAAGTGGTCCATCGGTCAAGTGCTCTGGCGCGAGACTGGTAGGTCCTGGGTTCGAATCTCGCAACGCGAGGTCGTGGATGCGCACTGCTGAGAAGTCTCACAATGGGACGAAACAGCCGTCCAGTGCCTCCAGATTTTCCTTGATGGTCTACTTTCAATCGACGCATGCTTTCGAACATAGTGCAATTATCTCACTTCTTCTCAATTAAGGATAAAGTAATGAAATGTCTTGTATTTGAATTTTATAGATTCCTTGTATCAATGAATTAGGAATTTTAGCTAGACAATCATCGAATACTTGTAAATACTTAACAATTGTTTCATACAAGCTTAAAGTCAGTCAACGGGATATATCCATGTTTCTTAGAGTGATTAAACCAAAGTCATTTGAGATACAGATGAAAACCTGGAAGCACTGGACGCCTGTTTCGTCCTATTGTGGGACTACTTAGCAGTCCGCACCTACGATTCCGCCTAGTGAGGTTCGAACCAAGAACCTACCAGTTTCGCACCAGAGAACTTAACCGATAGCAAGTAAGCTGGCCGGTATCCGATGGTGACAATGACTAACTTTTTTTATGACGTAATATTCAATTTCTAGTTTTTTTAATAATACCAGTTGTTACCAAGTGTCTTTCCTTTTTTATGAGAGAAAAATAAAACTAATAGTGAATTTTCGTGTTGACATTTGAAATTGTTTTTTTTTCTTTAAAAAAAAATAATTCTAAGCTATTTTATATTGAACAGAATAGGGATTTGTGGAGATTGTAGTATTATCATAATTGAGTTCATAAATTAATCTAAGCTAAACCACTATTAAAACCTTGGAAACATTGGATGTCCATTTTGTTCTAGTTAAGAACATCTCAGCAGCGAGCATTCACAATCCCATACACGGGACTTGAACCTAGAGTATTCTGTCTCGCGCATGAACTCAACCTATAAATCACTCAACTGGCCGGCATTTGATGGTATTGTGGCGTGGTCTACTTATATCCATATAAGTAGTATATGATGCTGATCAGACATAGAATGTATTTTGGCAGAAGATGGATGAGGAAAAAACAGGAAAGAAGCGCAATCGGTCCAGAAATGTATGAACAATAATAATCACATATGATGGACTGATATTTGCAGAAGGAACAGTTAAGATTGAGACAATTGATTGTTATTTTGCAAATTAACTGTCAACTGTATGGTTATCAGAATATAGTGAGATAGTCTGTAATTGATGCTTAAATACATTCGATTGTCCCTATTGGTGTTCTTGTTCACTACAGTATAAATGTCTAAATTTAATCGATCCATGAACTCTAACTATTGAGACAAGTTTCAATCCTCAGTAGAAATTCCTTTGTCAGCAATAATAGGATTTCAGTTGAACACGTCAAAAAAAGAGAATAATAACATTGAAAGTAAATTAAATTATCATCCTCATTTTTGTTTAGGAGACCCAGAAAATTCCTCGAAAAAACCTCGATGGTGCTCTGTAAACGTTAGGAGACATTTTATTTAATCAGCATTGAATGGAAATTTCTCAGAAACATCTAGAATGTGAATGGTCAAGTGTCACATTTCTAATTGGATGATTACCTATACTGCTACTGTGTTTAGCAGCATTCCAAAACTTTCCTGAAAGCTCAAAGCCATCTGAAATTCTATAAATACCTTCGATTTTCTGCACATAAACGAACCTTGGACAAGGTATTCCTTCCATATTTCATGCCTTGTCGCTCGAGTTCCAGTTGTCGTGTGCATTTAGCGTCGGATTATTAAAAGAGCTTAGGAAACAGATTCAACCGTTCAGTCAGAAGATTTATAAATTCTATAAAATCAATATTAATCATAGTGTTCTTCAATAGGTGTGTGTTTAAAA